TTTATGATTCAGTCCATAATTGCTTTCTGGAACTGTCAAATGGAACCGGTTACTTGGAACTTTTGTGTGAACGCACGACCGAAGTGTTGAAACATCGCTGTTTTGTCATCGCCTATCACATAATAACTGCATTATTTAGAACTGTATCCAATCTGGGAATTCACATTGACGTCATGTAACTTATCAATTATAATCGGAGTATTACTGGTGGCCTTGTATTTAATTACCGCATTATCAATCCCAACGAAAAAGCGCATGAAGTTATCAGATGAATATGTACCATTTCTAAAATGATTAATACTGGTTTTAATAAAAAAAAAGTTAATCTACATCCGTCTTAAATAGCTGAACTATTTATTGTATACTATCTCTCATTTGATTGTTTGTTTTACTTTTTACAATTTTACTCATTACTTATTTTACTTTGGAATTTAATAATTTACATATATTAGAATAGAGCTAGTTTAATAAAATTTAAAAAAAATTAATTTTTAGTTTTCTCTTTATATTAACGTTTTGGGGGCACTCTGTCTGCCTATTCAACATATAGAATTACATACACAAAATAAATTACTAGAATCTATAAAACCATTATCTTACCTACAGTTCTTTATGGATGCGAAATGTGGACGCTTACATTGATGGCTGAGCAACGTCGTAAGGTTTTCGAAAATAAATGTTTGCGCAGAATATACGAGTTAACCGGAGAGTTTAGACGGTTACATAACGCCGAATTGCGTGAACTTTATCCGATTAATATAATTGAGCTGATTACATCGCGGCGAATCAAATGGACTTGTAAAATTGTTGGGCTTGGTAACGAAAGAATTCTTAAAAAGTTAATATTTGCTGTACCCAATTGTAAACGTCCGAGGAGTAGACCGAAGCAAAGGTAGTAAGATTGCGTTATAGCCGATCTGAAGGGACTGGGTTAGGACGGTTAACGGTGGAGGGAGGTGTGTATAAGCGATTGGTGGTGTCGGCATCGAACCTTCGGGTTCGCTAAGCCTTTTATTATTATTCAAAGGTTTGAGACAGTGAGATGAACTCTTAATTCTTCCTATACTTCAAACTTGCTGCTGAAAATGTGATATCACGTAAAAATGGAAGAGCGCACATGAATTATTGATGGCCAAAGTCATTCTTTTTAAGATACTAGTCTCTTTAGTTAAGTTCACCTTATTGAACTGGTTCATTAATTTACTCCGTTTTCAGCGCTATCTTAAGTAACACATATGGTACTAAATCTAGTACCATCCTGTTACAGCAGATAGCGAAAAGTTTAGTTCACTAAGTGAACTATTACTGTCGCCATCTACTATAATATAGATGGTACTAAATATGTGATATCCTCTGCTCCAATATTTTTAGTAATAACAATCTGCATACCTGATTTATGATTTATTTTATGTAATAAAATCTACTCACATACAATTTATAACTTATTAACCATTGTATGTATGAACGCTTGATAAATTGGTTTGTACGATTCATCTTCGGGATCCCAAGGGACGCCTCTGTTTCCCGTTTTTATGTAGAGTTGAAGTGGATTTATAAGAGTTCAATCATTTCTTATAAATCCAGTCCCCATAAAATTGTAAATATGTATATAATTTATTATATTGTTCTTCATTTTACTTTATTTTCAATTTTTTATTATTAACTTATTTAAGTTAGAAAGTAACTTATAATTTTTTAATATGACTATTTCATTACTCAACATTTCTTTTTATGTATCTCTGAGGCTCCTTAGCCCACATTACTGTCCTTATGTATTATTCTAAAGGGACTTGTCCCAGAATAAATAAAGTATTATTATTATTATTTTTCGTGGTTATTTAAAATTTTAAAAACAAAAAGGAACTAAATATTTCTGTCATCATCCTATGATATATTATTAAAGTATCAAAAGTAGTCTGAAGACTTATAAAAAAGACAATAACAACAACAATGCAAGTAATTAGTTGTTTCTAGTTAGAAGAATGGCATGAAGCTCAAACCATTCAAAATTAAATTGAAATTGGAGACCTATTCAACTCGAAAGAGAGAGGTTTTAATCTTCTGAACTAACTAGTTCATTGAACTAGATAACTAAATTAGTTTATTTAGGTCTTGGGATTCCTAACTGAACTGTGAACTAGCTAGTTCAAATGAACTACAACTGGCGCCATCTATTGTGACATGGACGGTACTAAATCTGTGAGATCTACTCCAATTTAAATATATTTTAAGTAATAACAATCTGTATAATTGACTTCCGATTGATATTATTTAATAAAATTCATAATTAATTACCTATTTTTGGTATATGTTTAGAATTTTAAAAATGAAACATTTCTGTCTTTATCCTTTCAAATATTAATATTATTAAGTATTTTAGCTTACCTAATATTAAAAATATGATAGACAAAAACTATTTTCAAGAAAATCAAATCCTTTTTTTTAATTCCCATTTCAGTACAAGGACCATATACCGAGGTCTTCTCTTTACATTTCCTAAAGAAAACACCCACAATTGCTCTAATTTTATTTTTGTGGTAGCTCACGAAGAACTATAGTCCACCAAATGTAAGACTGGTCTTCACAGTTCCTTTTCGTTAACTAGTTCATTCACAAACTACACATCACTAACATGAATGAATAATAAAATTCTAGGATATGTTGCTACATATAATTATCTTTTGTTATAAACTAAACTTTCAATAATAGGGATAATAAGGTGTGGTAAAATACTTGCGTACCTACTTCTAGGCCTTAGCTTAACCATCTAATTGACGTTTCTTATTTGATTTTGGTTTAAACATTATATTGTTTCATATAGATGAATTTTTTTATAGTTCTGTTCTTGGAAATATTGGAGGGAAAAGAGGAGAACGATATTCTCGCCCCCTCTCTATTTGTATTAGGGGGAGCATTTGTCTCCCTCCTCCAAAGTCAGTGCCTATGTTATGTAGGACACATCTCCGCAATCCCACAGGGATCGACGGCAATGGAAGGAACTACTCCTTAGTGGCACTTCAACAATTATTCTAAATTAGGAGACCTTCTTATGGAAGACTTCAAAGAATTATAAGGAAAAATTATTATGAAAGGTAACGAACTTGTGAATATCTTCAGGTACAGAATTTATAATTAAAGGAGGCAGGAGTACCCAGAAGACGGTTTCACGGCTCAGGTTGCACCATCATAATTTTTGAGAGGCGCATATTTTGAGAGTTTTTTAATTTTTGAGGGGGACACATTTCGATGGGCTTATGAATTTTCTTAGTAAAAAGTTTCAAAATAGAAGAAAAGAGAAAACATGGTACGGACCGCAGCAAGAGTGATTGTATCCGATCTAGGATTTTTTAAATTTTACTTTCACTTGCACCTTTTTTAAGGAGATGTGAGTAATAGAATATCTTGAGGATAGAAGAGAGGATTTGATGTGCTATTGACCTTGGAGGGGATGGGCATCCCTAAAAGGAGGTATACCTATTTAAAGCCAAAGTTGCAACTTATGTAACACTGAGGAATAGTGGGCGGGGTGGCCGAATAGGCTAACGCGTGTGCACTGCACTGCCGTTGCCCGGCAACCTGATACACAAGATTTGATTTAAAATAATAGTCACGAGTTCGTGTCACGGTGCCCGGAGGACTTTTTAAATCCTCGCCCACACTCCCTGGCCCGAGAAAACCCCTGTATAGCCTTAAAGGCGAGGAAGGGGAAGACAAAAAAAAAAAAAATAAAATAAAAAACACTGAGGAATTATGGAGAATTTTATTTTTGGCATAAGAAACCTTTGAATCATTTTGGGCAATAAGCCCTTAATCGGATTTCAATAGTGCCGTGAACAGGTGAACATACGGCAGATTAATCTTTTAAGTTGGCAGCTATTCTGCAGATTCAGTAATATTATTTCAAATAATATACTAATACATCATATATTTATATTATTAAAATTACATAAATAATGCAAAGGAGTTGATATATGGTATCCAAAAAAATTTCTGTACCTGAAGAAAACTTGGTTTCGTACCTACAAAAAAAAAAAAAAAAACCTATACCTTTAAAATCCATAAAGGGCCTCGAGTTTAGTACTTCATGTGATGTTTATTGGTTAACAGCTATCAAAGCAGATGATTTGACAGAGAGCTGATTTCAGCCACCAGGTTTTTCTCCTTAAATAATTTAAAAAGTACACTTAATAAAGGGTAGATGTGCCCCTGGATGGTCTTCTAACCCCAAGTTCAATCCATGACTGGAATAACAGAATCCTGTCACACCAAAATTCTGACCTAGAACCAGGAGAATAGGAGCACAATGCCTTACTTAGTGAGCTACCCCCACTTTCTATTCATACCTGCTTCTTTGAACAAGACACATTTTAGATTCCTCAGGCTGTGGTGGCTGAACATGTTAAAAGTGTTGTCCACTTTATCATTCTCAAGACTAACGGCATCGGTTCGAATCTCCCTAGACGGCTTGAACTTTATTTTGTGGTGGGACAATGGAATGAATCTCGACCTTCCCAATCTGGATAGAATAGGTTTAGGGTACTTCTAGAACTCTCTTCAAGATCAGAAATAATAATCTCTAACATTCCTCATTAATAGTTTTAAATTATTTAAGGAATGACGAAATAAAAAGATATGAATGAACATGAGAAATATACATAATTATTATCAAATATGATAGATAACAAGAAAATATAATATAAATTTTATGCTGTTTTATTAAAATAATAATTACTATATTTATACAAATATTGTATTATTAATAATTTTAATTGTAATGTCCTAAAATTCAGATAGATATCCAAGAGATGAGGAAATATTTCGATGAAGATATTATGTATAATCATCATTCACAAAATTATCAAGGAAGAAATTTAGTTCACAGAATACCTTATATAAAAATTCTAAATTTCTAATTCCTAAATTTCAAACCCAAGTAGAAAAAAATCATTAAAAACCTGATTTAATATTCTAAGGTAAAATGGAAAGAATAAAAACACAAAATTATGTAAAAGTCTTTTATTATTTCAGTAATAAAACAAAAATGCAAAAATACTTACAGTATATTAAAAGATCAAAGTGTCAAAACAATTCGATAAACTAATTTTAAAAATTGTTAATTTTTCACCCTGGTTAAGAAATTTATATTTAAGCTAGTAGTAAAAAAATACTGAAAACGTATCATTTTGACACTGAGACAACTTTTAAATTTCCTGTCTTTGGCATGGTGTTTCCATTATATAGTTGGAATCCAGACCACTCTTGGCATGTAACAATACAGATCAAAAGGTATGTCCGGTGCATTTTCCATCTTGACGTTGATATACTGACCCAAAAATCCAGGGAACTTATCTGATCCTTCCTTGTCCAGAAAAATGAATTTATTTATGTAGCGAGCGTTCACGTTACAAGAAAAGTCATTAGCATCCGGAAGTATTTCTGATAACTTGGCCTGAAGATAGTTTAAGGACCCGTCTGGCAAACGAGCATTTTCGAAAAGTTTAAACGCACAATAAACGAGACGTTGAAGCTCCTCCGAATAGGCCGTTACAATTACAGAATTTCCAAATGTCAAACTTGAATAGATGAGCTTTATAAGGTCACCGAAAGCTGTGTCGTACATATTTGATAAAATCACCCAAACAGTTCCGAGCGGTTCATAAAACCACTCGATGTTCATGTTCTTTGCAATTAATAATTTGCTATTGCTTCCGAACTGAGACTTTCGGTATATACCTTTCAATTGATCGACCAAATTGTATGCTCTGAAAAGTAAATATCACTAAGATATATTAAACTAATTAAAAAAAGAATAATAATAATTTTTTTAAATTATAATAATAGAAAAATTAGCATTCCTCAATCCAACTGTTACAGAAATAATCTGTAAGATTAACACTCTTCTTTTATTTCTTATTCAATCATCATTGACTTAATTAAAAACCTATATTGAATCAGAATCAATTGACAAGCAACATTTATAATTTTTACAACTTATGTACAAAAATTAAAGAGGTTTAATAATTCGGAAGAAAATCATTTTCAATGTTATTCAAATGGAACTTGATCACTGTTGTGATATTATCAACCAAGAAAATTAAATAATGTCCATCAAACGTGTATATTTTTAAAAATCAGAGTTTCTTCCTATATTATCCAAGTTGCTCAAGAAATCTCGGAACTATTCTCCATTATCTACCTTTTCAATAGATGTGTAGTTTTTATAGACCATAATAAATAACAATATTTTAATTTAAAAAACCTTAATGACATATATTTATCCCCTGTTAGTGAGGAGGCTTTAAGAATTACAGTTTATCTCAAAATGGTACATTTTAAGGCTTTAAAACGCAGAGCAAGGTACATTCCAAAGAAGCTTTACTATGAAAGTTGTGAAACCCACCTCAAAATTATTAAAAATTAATTTATTCTAACTCGATCTGTCGACTTACCAATGGCGAAGTTTTGAAACCAAGAAATTAAGATCGCAATGAATTACCAACCACATCAAATACCTTTTTCATGTTTTTCATTCATTATTTGTATTTGAAATATATATTATAAAATAAATTGTAATACCCAAATTCTTCCTCAATGAAGGTTGAGACAGTGTCCAAATCATTCAGAAAAGTCAATAATGGTGTTTTATCAAACTGAAGTAATGACTTATAAGCACGTCGAGCCATCTCTACTGCAACATGTACCGAGTTCCTAAAAAAAATAAATTTAAATAAAAGAAAGAAAAGATATTCATAAATCACATACTTCTGTTGCTTCCAATACAATACAACCTTTATGAAAATTAAATTTACTAAAAAAAATTATGCATATATAAACTTACTTAAGCCTATAAAGAAAAAATCTTCATAAATAAACAATATTGCCAAAAAAACTCACTTTGGTATGAAATAAAATGAAAAAGTAAATTTTATTCTGGGGCATTCAGCCCCATAAGCATAATTATAAGGAACAATTAAGTGACATTTGTCTGGTATACAAGTTAATCATCTTCTTATTGTTAATTGAATTACACCGCTAATGAGTCTTTATATTAAAATAAAGAAAGGTACAAGTTAACATTTTAATTATAGGTAGGTGTTTAAATTTGTGTTTATACATTGACAATGGGTAATATATAGATATCTGTAAGAAGGAAGGAATAAACAGGTTTGTGGGCAGGGATCTCATGTTGAAAGAATGCACAGAGGAGCAGGAAATAAACAGATCAAGAAGGTAAGAAGGTTTTTTTTGTTGCAAAGATTTGCAAACAAAAACATCTAGGAAATATTGCCGTCAGGAAGCTGGATAGAGTCACTTCAGCTTGACGTACCAGCTGGAGATGTGGGAGCGCCTGGGGACTCCAAAGATGAATCTAATGAAACAATTCATTAGTCTCTTTAATCTGATCTTGAGGCCACCGTATACAAGGCAGCGATAATTGAAGTGAGGGAAAATGAGAGAGGAAACTAGGAGCTGGCAGGGTTTTTAGGAGCAACAAATCCTATAGCAATAGATTTTTGGGAAATATGATTGTTCCAGGAGAGGTATTGATCGAAAATTACTCCAAGATTTCTAACAGAATTTTGGAAATGAATAGGAAGTCCATTAAGGCAGAGTAGACGATAATAAGGAATGGAATTGATAAGATGCTTGGAACCAATGAGAATAGCTTTGGTTTTCTCAACGTTCAACTTTAAATCATAGCTGTCCAAGTAGTAATACCATCTATATCTTTCTGTATCTGTTGTATAGCCTCAAGCACCTCAGTAGGATGAAAGGAAAGATAGATTTGAAGGTCGTCAGCATAAAGGTATGTGACTAACAAAACCAATCACGAACAAAAAAAATAATGAAAACAAAATCATCTCCTTTTTCTGAAAAGGTTTTCATAATAGAATTTTTTATCAATTTCTGATCAATGGTAGAAGAGGAATCAATTAGGAAGCATTTTTAATTTTTAGTTTATATTTTTGTAAACAGCCATTAAAAAATATAGCAAAATTTTAAAAAATCAAAACCCATTCCATCTTCTGAATAACCGACGAAGTTAATTTTATTTTTATTCTGATAAAATAAAATAAAATGGCAAGATCTAAGTTTTGATTTGTTTTGTAACTGAGAAGAGTAGAGAAGTGTTTGAGTAAACAAAACATAAATTAGCAAATTGATTAACCAAATTATTACTCAAGGCAAATATAAAGTAATGCCATTTATTTATTTATAGTAAAATATAAAGTAATGCATTTACTTAAGATATAAATAAATCCTAAATCTATAATAACTTAATTACCTTATGTATACTGGTTTGATATTTATATCGAGTATCTTTTTAGATATCTGATTATTAGAGGTTTTGGAAGTTTGATCGGAGCTTTCACTTTCGATATCCTTTTCTTTCATAGGTTTGCCAAAATCTCTAAGATAATTTAGCACTGAAAAAACAAAACAAATTATTCTCCATAATTTCAGAAACAATATTCTAAACAGCTGAGTGAAGTATATTACATGAAATTCCATTTATTGGGACCTTGCTTTCTTTTTGCGATTCGAGAGGCACAGAAGGATCAATAATTCCATGGGAATTAATCCAAATAGTATTAACCTGAAAATTAGAAATAATTCATAAATAAATTATAACTATAGATGATTGATTAGTAAGAGGAAAATTTAAATTCCGAATTACTTCAAGCCTGGAAGAGACATAATTCGCAGTCGTGATGCTTTCCGTCCAAACAGAAGCGCAACAACCAAATCTTGATTTATTAGCCAATGAGATGCCTTCATCTCTTGTTCTGAACGGCATAATGACTATTCCCAAATCGTAAGGTTTATCTTCGAGAAGGTCTCTAGGATCCCAACCCAAAAAGATCCTATTAGCATGATTGATAGAAGGCTGGAACACCTGAAGATGAAATAACGTATAATATAGCATAATACATACTATATATATTTTTAAAAAATAAATTAATAATAACCTTCTGACAAAAACAAGAAAAAAAATTGATAACCTCAGAAATAAATAAAAAATAATGAACAAGAAGAAGAATAAAAATAAAATCTCAAAACTTCGACATCTATCATCTTTTGTTTGTGGTGGTTTAAATGTTCCTATTTTTATTTTATTATCGATTATCTTTAATTTAATTTTGAAATAATAAGGATAAAAAATGGACAGGATGTGTAGTTAAAAATTCCTTTATTGAGATTGGGTCAAACTCAATAAAGAAAATTTTGACTGTACATCCTGATCATTTTTCATCCTTAAAAAACAGTAAATATATTGTAACTTTACATTCTCTTTGAAAAGTAAATATTGTAACGTTACATTCTCTTTGAAAAGTAAACAAAACAGCTTCTGAATCAACTTTTATTTATTTTAAGCAATAATTATTTCTCAGGTTGGGTTGAAATAACAAACACACATCCTCAATTACACAATATAAAAGCATACATTAATTGTGCATAACATTTATATGAATTTCCATTGTTTGTTGGGGTCTACTCTTAGCGCGCTTTCGAACTGTCACTATATATATTTCACTCACCCAGTTCTGCAGTGAATCTTCATCTGTATTGCTGTATCCAACTTCTACAATCTTTTCTTGTTCTTCTTTATTGACTCTAACCACTTGTTGATCACATCTCACTATTTGTGGTCTCGATCATCTCTTCCAGCCGGATGGCTACCTTCTGCCCTAACTTATAGCACTTGCTTCCCCTTCCATCTGTCTTTGTCCATTTTTGACAGTAGTTCGTGATGTCACTGCCTTCGCGCCACTATTTAAAATCACTATGTAATATTTACATTACAATATGTTGCATTTACATTCCTTTGACAATAGGTCAGTATTTCCTAGTTCTTTTTTATATCTAATTATGTGTAGGCTTTAAGTCTCATTTTATTTACCCCTTCCTTCCTCCTCTCTCAGACCTAACAACTAACAAGATAAATTGTTCTAAAATTCATTTTCTCCTCACAAAGTATTTAAAATAACTACTATATCATTCAACCCATCCATATACGATGTACTGGACCATCTAACATTGTATAATAAACACAATACCATAGAATTGATATCAAAATGTTTCCTATCTTGTCTACAGGCGCATGGTCGCAGGACCTTGTCCTCCTTAGTGATCCTCCTCCAAGCTGATCTGTCTTCGGCTGCCCTTCACCATCTGCCGACACCCAATATCCGAAGATTCTCCTCTACATCCTGCAGCCAACAGAGTCTATGTCTCCTTCTGTGCCTTCTTCTACCAGGATGTCTCTCCATTACCATTTTTGGTGGTCTACCACTTTCCATCTTTTGTACGTGCCTCAGCCATCTTATCCTAACACTCTTAATCGTGGCAACAGTATCTGGTATTTCATATAGATTTCTAAGTTCCTTGTTTGCCTTCATCCGCCAGCGATCTCCTTTTTCTTTCCATACATGACCACTGGCTGAAGGACAGTACGATACACTTTGATTTCAGTGCTCTGAATATATCCCAGTTTGGAAATATATATTCATTAGAGACCAGTAGTATCGATTGCCAGCTGATACCTTGCCTTAATTTCTTCTCTAATCTTATTATCCTCAGTGATTACAGTCCTCAAATACTTAAACTGTGGTACTCTCTCGAAACGATATTCAGCCCTCTCGATATGCCTGTTCCCTCCTTCTTCCTTGCTGGTCCTAATATTTTTAGTCGTCAAAACGATTACTAATAGCAATATCATTTCATTTGCCTTTTGTACTTTATGGTTACAGAGTACCTGATCCAATGCTTAAAGACATTTCAATCCAGCACCAATCTATTAAACTCTTTTATTGATACCTCTATTCCCAGGTTGATCTGATAATAGGTGCCCAACTTACTCTTGTGTCGCACAAGGTTATTTTACCACATCCATAGATTCCCAAATATTTTTTTTTAATCTACTGACCTGCATTCTGGCCCACAATATTCCTTTTTAGTGAATACTGTCTATTAGTGATTGTGACACCATAACCAACTTTCTCTGCAATTATTTATTTGTTTTATTTTAAAACCGTATACCAGTATTAACTTCCGAACAACTCAATATATAAAAATTAAATCTTAAAAGATTGAAAAAATTGAATTAACTAATAATTAAAAAGCATTACCTGAATGCTACCACAATGTTCAACATCTACAGGGCCATTTAATTCATGACGTATAGCTGCGGAGAACAGGTCCGCTTCCTTCAGTTGCGTAGCTTTCTCAATGAGCCTAATTGTGACTTGGTCATAGACGGCTTCTTGAATGAATATGTGGGTAACTGAGTAAAATGTCTAAACAAAAAAATATTCATTCTTTAAACAAAATCGGAGTAATTTTATTATTAACATATTTTTGAACTATACAATAACTTTTAAAAGTACAAATACAAAAGGAGAAAAACCAAACAAACAAACCAAAAACAAACATCTAGGTATGAACAGAAGTGTTAATGAAGGATAAGAAATAAGAAATCTTTTAGAGGAAGAGTTTCTGCCAAGTGACCATAAAGTTTTAGAAAATCTTTCCACACATAAAAAATATTTTTATTAATTACAATTATTTCTACTTTAACGATATTTCAAATTCTGTATATAAATTTTATTTTTATTACAGATTTAATAATGAGAAATTTAACTAGATTTTTATTGAGAGGATATTGAAAGTAACAGTTTATTTTGTTTTTGTTTCATTTTAATAATTATCTTCCTATTTAGAGAAATAATATTAAAAAGATTGAAATATAATTGTATTCATTATAAAACACCGATTCCTTTCTTCTTTTTTATATATAGGTTATAGATCTTTCCATTATAAGGTTATAGATCAATCATCACACTACTTTTGGTATTTGGAGACAAACTAGAGAGCTTGGAGAAAGTTTCACGTAAGTACTAGTGTTAATCAAAATTTCAATGGATATTTGCATTTCTGCTATTTAGAAAAGTAAATTGTTTTAGGTGTTTTTCATTTTAAAATCAAAACAGTTTAAGCAAAATTTTGCATTTTTTTTTTTTAATCAAGAGTTTTTATGTACTTTTATGTAAGAGTTTGTATGTACTAGTGTTTTAGGAGTTTAGGAAATATGTAAATCAAAAATAACTTTCTTTTGCTTTATGAATGCCCAACAGAAGATAAGGTGATAAAAAAAAAATTCAATAATACTTTGATAACAGGAACAAACAAGAATAGCTAAACAACACAATCATCATTCCGGGGACTTAATTTTAAAAGTTGTCTACACATCGACTGAGTAACATTCCATAGCCTCAATTTGTCACATCATCATTCAACGAAACACAATACTGATTTAAACTACTATAAGAAATTTTGTAATAGCAAGTACGAAATTTGAAAAGAAATAGTTAATATTTATTGTTTTACTTTAAGAGCTATTATAAAGTCTAAATATTATACAAAAGAAAATAATTCTGCCATTTTATTTAAAATGAAACCTTTCTTTATATATAAATACAATAAATTAATTACTAATATTTTTCATTACCACAGTAAATCAATAATAGATTAAGTTTATCAATCAATAATAGTTAAAATGACCACAATATTTCCATAAATATACAAAGATTTCATCAATAATAAGTCTTTTTAACATGGAAAAAATGTTTTTATTTAATGTATTATATAATGTTTCAGCTTTTATTAACCATTTGTAAATAATCTGAAAAAAAAAATTGTAGAGAAGCATAGTTAGGATGATCAGTCAAAATAAATAATTGTGTTTATTTATTTTTAATATTTTATTTTGACTGATCACCCCAACCATTTTTCTCTTCAATTATTCACTACAGTCAACCATTAACCCGCAATTATGAAAAAAAAAATATTCACATCAACAAATGTTGTTTACATTTGTTTTATTTTAAATTATTTGAAAATTTATGTTTGAAAAGTGACCTTTCTCTATCAACCAATAGAAAGAGAAAAAAGAGGAAATGGTTGCTAGGAAGAAGTGGTTGCAGCATGTCGAGGTAAGCATGGCTGCCAGAGGTTTTCGAGAAGGAGACTGGATCGAAAGAAGTAGCGAGAACTTTTAGGAATGACTAACAACTAAGTTGTAAAAAAATTGAAAAGATACATAAAATAAATACATTTTTTTCTTATTAAAAAGACTTTTTATTGATGAAAGTCATTTAAGGGAAATATTGCAGTCATTTTAAAACAATCTATTATTGACTTAAAACTAATAATTAATTACGAATCCCACTAAAAATGAATAACCAAAATATTTTTCTTTTTATTCAATAGGTAATGTAAATAATTACAGCTTTTACACAGGTAAGAAAAAGAAAAAATATCAACCATGTGAATAGAAAAGAAATTAGTAATAGATAGGAAAGATAAAAAGAAAATATCAGACATAACAATGCTAGGTTCTACTTAAGAGGTTCCCAAAGTCTTTATCTTCAGATATGTAACAAAATATTTAGACAAAAATAAGAAAGTTATATCTTATTATAAAAGATAAATTACTACAAAACTACTGTTAACGAGTGAAAAATTTGACAACTTTTAGAACCTTTGAACAAATTAGGTAACTTATAGTACCATGCTTTTCCAAAAAAATAATTGAGACAGTAACAGGAAAATCATGTAATAGAAATTACTACATGAAGTTTTGTAAATGATGTAACAAGAATGATAAATGATGTAAACTCAGGATTAGAAAAATATTCGATTTTAGGTTAAAAGTCACTTTCTTATCTATCAGCTGAGAGAGACAATCATACACCTTTTTTTCCAAAGAGCATACAAAAAAATCTGGTGTGTCCACCCACACAACTTCCTACCAATTTCAGAAAAGTTTTTATGTCTTAAAATATATCCATTAAAAAACAAAAACAAAAAATTTGAATTAGACTTTTTTTCCCTGAAAATTGATAAAAGAAAAGATTTTTGACTTCTTTGATAAACTGAAGTGATGTAAACACTATTTTTCCATAGCCCAATTATGTCAGACAATAATTTCTGTTAAAAATAGAGGGGGAAGTTAAACTTGTGTGAAACGGGAACCAGATTTTTTTTTCTCTTCACTTACTTTTCTTTTGTCTCTCTCTTTCACACCTTTCAGGCAAAAGGATTTGAAAACAATTTTTATATAGTTTTGTAGGGTATTTCATTACTTACAAAAAAAAACAGGCTGAAATATGTTTTTCACATATTTTAAAGGGCGTTATTGCTCAAGGAGCACCCAATTTGTGCCGAAACCCAACTAAATAAAAAAAGAAACAACTAAATTGTATACTAGTTCCCGAGATAATCTTGGTACAGACCAATGGCTGAAAATGTATTTTTCGGGCTCAGGGGCCTCTGAAACATATAGATCCGTTGAAAACCGAACATTTGAAATTTGACCCGATCGCAATACTTCCCTTACCTAGTATAGGTAAAAAAGTAAAAATGAAAAATAAATAAGCTCCAAATTATTACACATTGGTTCATTCAGAATATTTAATTTGACAAGCAATAAAATAAGCATTTTAGAAACATAACAAAAAAAATTTGTAAATTAATTAGATTGTTTTATTAAATATTTTTATTTTATTTTTAGGCTTTGCTATAGTTATTTTAACTCCCTTTATGTTTTTCCAGTCATCAATAATGGCCAAAATATGAGCATAGGAAAACCTGTAATAACTAACGATTTTGAAACAACCATATTGAGTATAATGTCGAATTTGGGGAATAACCTCAGGGTTTTTTTAACATTATTTTAAAGCGATTAAATAATCCTGCATACAGTTTCCAGTTAAATGGTGTTCAATGAGCAATTAATCATATTTTTTAGATTATTGTTTTCTTTCAAATAGGAGATGCAATTATAATACTTTTATTAAATATTGTGATTTGTCTAAATTTGGGAACCTCTTTTCAAGGTTTATTTTTAAAAAAATAGACAGTTCTTAAAACTTAAAAACATTTTAAAACTAAATTTACAATATAAAAAAAAATCAATCAAAATAAATAGTTATTAGTTAAAAAGTCCAATTTCTAAGTTAGAAGAAATTCTCTAAAAATTCTAACATACCTCATTTTCAGAAAATAAATTTGCTAAGAAGTTAAATTTTTCCATTAAAATACGGATAAATTTTAAGCTATTAGCTTATAAAATAAAATTGAATAATTCATTTACAATATGAGTTAACAGCTACTTTGAGACAATGTTAAATGTATTTAAGCACCAATAAGCAGCAGCAGACACAATTACAAGAAAACGTTTGTTTTGTCAAAATAAAATTGTAATACTTTTCCCCGATATTTCCAAGCACCTTGTAGAGAATTTTCAACTGCAGAGTCCAAATCTGCATCATTAAAAATCAATACGGGACAATATTGCTGAGAACTACAGTCCTTAATACCTACAACAATATACTATTTCAAGAAGCCTTCTAAATCGCTATGAAATGAGCAACCTATTAACTACTTTATTTTTTACAGATACTTACACAGAAGCTGTTCGGCCAATGGAAAATCTGTTCCTACAAGAGAATATGTACTCTCTGGACATCTAAAAAAAAAAAAAAATATAAAAATAAACAACATTAAATATTGTAAATAGCAACTAATAAAAGCAAAAATTCAAAACAGAGGCAAAAATTACAGTTAAAATATAATTTAAAGATTTCTAAACATAACCTAAGGTCTCTCAAACATCAGAAAAAAACTAACCAGTCAATGTTTTGCTAATTCAGGCAGCATTGAGACAGAAAAAGATTAATTCACATTAATGCAGATTAAATATAGCACATCTCACATCATTAGTCTAAACCAAGCATAATGAATGGCTCTTAAGAAGTGCAACAGAATATTTATTTACTATTTGAGAAACCTAAGGCTTCACTTGGAAATTTATCTACGATACTCTCACTATAAATAATAATAAATAACATGCAATAATTGAACATTACCCTGATTCTTTGAACAAATCTCCTAAAAAGGCGAAAAAAGGTAAATGGCTCTCTTCATGAATTATCAAACAAACACTGTAACCAAGCATTAATGCTGGAAACAGAAGTCTACCAAGAATTGGAATTTCATTTAATTGAATGTGAATATCGACTGAAATAGAATAAAATATAAAACATTAGCAAATATTTTAATAGTCATTAATAATTAGAAAAAGGAAAAACATTTTATTTAAATAGGGAATCTAAAATAAAGTATCAATTCTATAAAAAAAAAAAAAGCTATACAAAAGAAAAACTCAGGCTAACATGAAAGTTTTATCATATAATACTACAAAAATTCCTTAGTCTAAAAAAAAAAAATGTTTGTCTTTATTATTTAATGTTTATAATTTACTTAAGGCAGAGTTTTATTAAGGGTGTTATTTTAGGTATAAAGCATACTGACTAAGTGTAGTAAAAAAGGAAATGTTAATAACATGCATTATTAGAATAGGAGATAAAGGAAAAATATTAATTAAAAAAAAGTGTATATAGGGAAAAAAGGTAACAAATATTAATAATGTATGATGTTCTAACAGTGAAAAGTAATGTCTCTGAAGATAAACAGAGTCTGAAATGTTAGACATAGTAAATTGAAATATACAGAAGAAAAAATTATCATTTTTGTTCAATCCTTTCTCGCCTTTTAGGATATACAGTTTTTTTTTTTGCAGCCTATGGGATAAACCTTAGGTCAGAGTTAAAAGCTCCTTGGCACCAGGACGGGAACTCGTGTTTATGTAATCATGTTTATAGGTTGCTGGGCAAGGTGTGTTTTGCACACAAGTTAGCCTGCTCGGCCACCCTGTCCTCTCCACAAAAAAAAGTTGAAATTTAATCTCAATAAACTAATCTAGCTTCAATTCAACTTGAGGCTTTTGAATAAATGCTACGAATATATAGGAAAGCATCCCATTATATTTAGTATGTCTAATTATACTTTGGATAAATGAAAAAATGTATAATACTTACGAAGATGGCCTGTAGTAATAATCTCGTCATAAACAAAAATATTTGTGAAATAATAGAGGCAGTCATTACAAAGATTTTCAATTATAGCTGTAGAATCATCGTGGTTGTAAATTGTAAGATTTAACAAAGCAATAAGGGCATCTTTATTTTTGTCTAAGACATTAGTTATGCTGAAAAAAACAAAAAATATGCAAATTATATAATGAGAGCAACAAATATAAATTAAATTGGAAATTGCTAATAAATTAGATAAATGTGAAATTACTTCGAAAATAGTTCAGCTTTTGCAGCTCTCGGTAAACTGTGTAATGAACTTTTACTTCCGACATAATGCTTGTGTCGACCAAACTTTTGACCAGACTTCTCATAGTTATCTAAATATTCCTGCATCAAAAGAAAACAGTAACATGTTTGAAATATCAAAATCCAAGAATATTTTTATCATCTTTTAATTCAAATGTATAATATTTAAGCAAACTTGGTTTGATCTATTTTTCATGGGCGTTTATTACAAACCATTTCATATTTAAAAAAATAAGTTTAAAAGGTACTTCCATAATTTTAATTTAAACATTTCCAAGTTAATATTGCAAATTAAAATTAAATTAAATATGTAAAATTAATACTATGTAAACTGGTAGGCAATAAGTAAATGACAGTAACCAGAGAAAAATCCTATATTTAAATATTTCCACAGATCTTAAAGATAAATTATAATTTTTGTGGATTTATTTACACCCTTTCCTTTCTAATTATCCAAATTTTACACTTTTAATATTATTATTATTTTTTAAGATTATTAAATTTATTGATGTTATTATTTATACATTATAATAATAAATGCCTTCAAAAGCTCTCCACTCAATACCTAACATAAATATTCTTCAAGTTGCATCTTATGTAATTTAGGGAACCACTTTTAATTTATGAAAAATACTTAACACATCACATGATTTTAATTTCAGTTTTAACAGTAAATTTAATATATATTAAACATTAGATATATATTATACAGAACATAAAATGTATCAAAGTGATCGTGTCGGATTTTGCTCATAAAATTAGTTTTTTACTTCTTAAAATAAAATAATCCAGTTTATAAACTAAATATTCAATTCCTTTGTTGTTCGATCGTTAACAAAGTGTAAGAATTAATGAAAGAGAAATAAATTAAAATATTCAGATGACAAAAAAAAAAGTAACTTTGAATCTGAAGATAAGAAATATGATCAAGTGATTTAAACAGGAAAAATGTGGAAGTCACAAACTTTCAGACTGTTCTATTTAACATGTTGATTCTATATTAAGAATCTAAACTGGCCATAACTGGATGGGTGGGTCAGCCAAAAAAAAAAAAAAGATAAGAAATAAAGTAAAATTTAAAATCCTATCACTATACAAAAATAGTTTTGATGAAAAACATACAAATCAGAAGCAAAATATTTTAAAATACAAGGAGAAAAGTAAAATACTAAAACTAATTCCATATTATAGCATTCCATATAATAGAACTCAAATTTATTTCCATAAGCTAATATTATAAGGCAGAAAAAGGTAAAACAAATCATAAAATGTACAATTCCATTACCTTAGCACCTAAAAGTGCAGTTGAATTCTTGACAGGTTCTATTTCCATGCTCTTAAAAATGTCAACAACCGTTTTATCAGACATAACAGACATGGCTATAAATTGTTTATCTCATAATATGTACAATATCTACAAGAAAATATGTATTAGTCTCTTATCACACCAAGAGAACCCAACCAAGTGTTGATAATTGTCAGTTGTTATTTTAAGGATAAGGTACCTCACAATTGATGGCGGGAGAATTCGAATTTTAATTGAGTGAAAAAAGTTCTCGAAAACTTTAAAAATTTTTAAAAATATTCAAACTTCTAAAAAGGTCAATGATAAATTGATATTTTGAACAAAATTTCAGCCGCGATTATCATTTAACGGAACAGGTATGAGTCCAAAGATAAAAATATTTAGGGATGGTTTCTATATGTTTTCACAATTGTAATAGTGACATTAATTTCTTTTTAAAAACTGGTGGCAAGTTCGTGCCATTTCTGAGTCCGATTTTTCAACAATTATGCGTATTTAAATTGTCTCACTTACCATTAATATTTTTCTTTCCTTTTAAATAATGAGTAAAAAAACTAAAACTATGTTAGGCAGGTAAGTCACGCTGTTGACAAGCACATAATTCTTATTCAAGGTTGGACAAGGGGGAGCGCCGCGGGTTTCACCGCCAAAGTTAAAAATAAAATCTTTACTCATACACAATTGTTTCATATAAAATATCAATTTTCTTATGTAAAATTGAGCGTGGAAGAATTCAAGAACACTTTAGTAGTTAATTGAAATAATCTTCAATAGCTTTTACTAATTACTTGTCTATAGACTTTTTTAATAAACTGAAAGTGAAAGTCCTTAACATGAATGAAGCCTTAGTCTTTTTTGAGATGCTTTCTTGCTGTAATTTCTACTTTCTTTCACAAAACGTAATAGATAAAATAGAATGGATGATGTGCATTATCACTGGTAAGAATTCTTTACGTTGATTTGCTTTTTGCATTGAACTATATTTTTGTTGTGTTGGAAATACTCATTTGGATCCGTCAAAAATGACAATACTACAGCCTTTTAAGACTGCTACACACAGTATGTGATATGTCTCGACGATATGATATTTCTGTCGGCGGCGATAAGTAGATATGATTCGTCATATCGCGTTAAGTTTGTAGAAGCCTATAGATATTAAATACCTATATCTTGTTTCCGTAATAGAAAAATTATATCCTCAGGAGCAAGTAAATTAAGTTAGAACAAGTGAAAAAAAAAAGTCAATAATTAATAGTACAGGAGAAACATTAAAAAGCGAATCAACTCTCAATAAAATGTTATTACTTTAATATGCCAATATAAAGGACTGGCTCTATGATGGAGATTACATTTAAAAGCCTTCTTTTAAGAGGCATGTTTCATCTGCGGGTATTTATTAGTTACGTGCTCCAACTAGAACAATAATGAATGATTAACCCACAAGTTACCAAGTTTTATGATAAAAATATGAATTTAATTTTACTCCAAATAATAAAATCTCCATGGTTTTTCAAATGCTTCCAAAAAGTTATGTAATCACTAAACTGGAATATGTAAAAATTACACTAAAAAATGTTTGATAGTTGAATTCAAGACATATTTTGGCTACCAAGTTGTTGACTATCAAATTCTCATATAGATAATAAACAAAATCTGTTCAAAGCTTCACGTACTAATTTATTTGAAATTATAGTAATCAGAAATGCTGTATAAACTATTACATTTTAATGAATAAGACTTCCTTAGTTTAATTCAAATGAAGAAAATCAGTTGTTGATTCGAATAGGTGCTTAGTATATTGTTTGCTAGCATTATTTTATGTTCAAATTGGCTAGTTCAAACTCTTCAATTTTCTTGTTTTTTGCAAAACCAATCTCGAACTCTATGAACAATTCTTAACATTCACTCTAATGGATGCTAAGACATAAACATTTATCACAGCCAGTTAAACCATACTGATTAGAAATTGTATTCAATTATTGTTTTTTCTTTCACTAGATGACATAAACGGTTATATTATTATCATTATTACAAGGCAAATTGAAGTGTAAGTTCTAAGAAACAAAAAAAATTTTAGTTTTTTATATTGAAAAGTTGAAGAAGAAAATTTTTTGAATATTATCTCAATGGAAACTTGTTACAATCATGAACGAATGCTCATGCTTAACACGGCGGCAACGTTTACTGTTTATCACAACAGAGCCAAAACATAATCAATTTTTTAAAAATCATTATATTATTATAAATTGAAATTTATATTTTATACAGACGAGAAAATGTATGAACAAACGATACAAACTATCGTAAGTTATCGAGTCAAATATATTTTTAGTATTGAAAGAGAAAATTATGTATACTTATATCATTACTTTTTTTTAAGGATGTTCCTGACAAGCTATGTGAAAAATCTGGAATTTCATTTAGTGTAGTGAATAATAATGATATTAGTGTTTTCCCGTTTCGTAAACCATTACCACAAAATATAGGTAAGTCTATTGTAAGATGACTAAATTAGTGCTTAGCTATGAAAGTGGCACAACTTTAAAAATCTCATGATCATAATGAAGGAAATAGCAATATTCCACTATTTGTGAAATATCGGGTATAATTTAATACTGGAAAAGCTGTTCTATGGCTATAAACGGAAAGTGAAAATTTATTGTTTCTCTCTGATAAGACTTTAATATCTTTGAAATATGTCCAATACCAAAATAAAAAAAGGAAATAACTTGAATTTTTGCAATTATCAAAGCAAAGCATTGATGTGATATAGCATATAGCAGTGATATAGTACTGTACAAATGGCAAAATATCTTGTATAATAGGCCAAGATGCTTTGTTCCGGGTATGAATTCGGTTCCCAAAATAGCCAAGGATAGGCAATACGTTCACATTATATCTTACCTTTATTTAGATCAAGAATTAAGACCTCGCCCAACTCCCAACTAGTTATTTTCACTTAAATTTGGGGCAATAATTAACTTTAATTACATCTCTGCTTATGACTCCCGCTCTCTACAGTCGCTGTAAAGGAATAAACAAATGCACAACGGGCCTGGTTCATTGGAGATTGGGGCATTACCAAACTGTTCTGTTTCTTATGTCTACTTTTGAATGAACTTAGCTATTCTCGGGATTCTGTTTACACTGCAAACAAGTGATGGTCCCCTTGACTATGTGGAGGCATATTTGTATAGTGGTACCGATATATTTATATTGTTACTATCATAGGTATTTATATTTATGATGGTATCAATAATTAATGATTAAAAGATAATACTTTACAAGTGTTGCTGTAGTTAGATTGGTGAAAATATAGGTTTTTATATAAATTAATATAAATATGTAAAGGTAGTAAGGATGAAAATTACTCCTATTCAGGATGTTTCTTATAAAGAAAGGTCTTTTGATCAACCTCTTCCATATATTTTTAAACATTTTAGCATTCTATGTAAAGCGTGGTCAATGTGATCTCAGCCATACCAGACATAGTAGTACCCTGGTTTTAAATGGAGTTTGATTATTAATGGTTATTCTAATCCCCTTGATATGTACTTGGCTTTTATATAAATATTTTTTGAATATTATGTTGCAACAGTTGTTTGATCATTATTTTTGATAAAAAAGTTTAGAAAACAAAATTATTTTGCAGGTAAAAGTAGTGAATTTGCTCCATGTGAGGGAAGTGTATATATGTTGAAGGCAAACAGCATTATGGACGATCCTGAATTAAGAAAATTGATAAACGAATCACATGCCATATTTGTTTCTTCTAGAAGTGTTCCTACCGATGAAAATTCCAAACATCGAGTTTTAGAACAAAGCAGGGAACATAGGTTTGTTTTTTATGATTTCTGAATATTATTAGCATCCAGAAATATTTATGTATTAGGCATATGATTACAGGAGTGATAATAAAGATACTTAATCATTTAGTCAATACTACTGTAATTTTTATTTTATATATTAACTTTATTATATTTTTTCTTGCTTTATTTTTGGTCATTATTAAAAATTTTCAAACAATTATATATTAACACATTAAATGCTACACTATTCCTCAGAATTCCAGTATAAAAATCTATCTAACTGTTTTATTGTTCTCAAAAGTATTTTTTCATTAGTAGGTAATATCTCTCTAAACGACTCTTGTAGCATAATATATTAAGATAAGAAAACTATTTAAATCTTATTATAGGAGTAAATCTTATCATAATTCAAAAAGTATAAAGTTTATTATTAATTATAAATATAATAATTTTATTAGGAAAGATAAAACCTGTTGGATCTACTAGATTTGATTTATTATTTTCAATAAACAACATTTTTAATGCATCCAGAAAAATCCCTCAAAATTTAATTATTTTCAGATCAAATTACAATTTGATTACTCACCAATTCTGAATATGAATTTTTATTTATATTTAATCATAATGTATTATTAAAAACAAAAATTATGGAATATGTTGTCAGCAGTCAAGTTATTAATGATTATTTTTTAAAAGGATTTGTTCTACTTTTTATTTAAATGTCAATATATTGTTCCAGGTCATCAATAAGGCAATGTATAGAAAATATGCACCAAGCTATGTGTTCAAGAAACGCAGATTATGAGAATTGGATCAAAATACTGGAAAGTATTGAACTTATTTGGCACTTGTGTGAGCTTCTGCATCTTGAAGCTGTTCATTGTAATTATATTAATGATATTCCAAATAGTTAAAAACGACTTTTCTGTTTGACTTGACTGATTTGGTGTGTGTTTTATTATTATTATTAGCTATGTTTAAATTACTAATATTGTGCACTATAAATTTTCCAATATGGTCATATCAAAAAACTTATCTTTTTTTATATCTCTCCAATGTCAAATCAGCTAGTATTTAATGCTCTCTGCTAGTATGCTCTCTATTTAAAATACAAATCTTATATAAATACCATCTTATATAAAATACAAAATTCCAAAGAAAAAACATAGAAAAATTAATAATTTATTTATTTATCCCTGGCTCTACACTCCCAAAGAAACCTGGGCCTCTCTTATGATCTCCCTCCACTCTCCTCTATTCTGGGTGAGCATTTGCAACCTTCGGACTCGCATCCATTTTAGGATGTTCTCCATCTCAGGCCTGGTCTTTCTCTTCCATGTTTTCTACCAGGTCGGTTCTCTAGCAAGCATTTGGGATTCTCTGAACCTGGAAATCGTCTCTGAACACACGCGCCACATGGCCCAACCATCTGATCTAGGTACACCTCATAATTGAGACCAAATGCTGAGGCCTCGCTTTCTTCTCGTGCAGCTTTTTATTGGTGCTAATTCTCCATTGTCAACTCCAACTTTACTGAATCTTTAAAGTAATATTATTTTTTCTCTGAAACTGTTTATTTCTCTTTGGATAAATGAGCAAAATATATACCACATAATATTTATTTTAATTAATTTATTGCTATTAAAAAATGGTTGCAAGTTATGTCTGTTTTTTCATGATAAACAATTTAAAACTAACTTTTTTAATTTAAACTTATGTAAAACTATATTTTTGCAGCTGATATAGTGCTTCCGAAACTCATTGAGTGGTCTCGACTGAATTCAGTCGAATATGACGAAAATATTTCCAAAGAACTGCATTTTGGAAAAGGTGCCGAGATAAGGATCGGAGAAAAGTACTGGGTCCAGATTATGAGTCTTCTTGTTGAATCCAGGTTTGAGGCAACTCGAGCCCTACTTAGACTTCATTCCGAAGCTGATTCTAAATCTTTTATGGAGGCTGATGCTATCCTTCGAGGGATTCCAATTTATACGGTAAGTTTAAAGCTGTAATTGTAGATTTGTGCTTAAGGTGAAGGGAAGAAAGAAGAACCATCATCTAGCTTACTAGGGATAACTTTCTTAACATCACCAAATTAACCGATGATGGGTTGACAGCCGAAACATCTTTAAATTGCAACTTGTTATTGTTGAAATTTCTTTTCCTGTCTCAGAAATCCCTAATTAAAAGATGTTGCTTATTAATTATATAATGTAACTTACTATTTGGAAAGAATGGCTCTCCAGAATAATTCAGTTCTGAATTTTTGCATAGATTTTCTTACAATTATTTTGCGTAGAATACATTAGTAATTTTTTATAGATTACCAACAGTCATTTTGCATGGATTTTTTTTTGGTTCTTCACTACCAAAGGTGGGAAGCTTGGTGTTTGTGCAAGAGGTTAAAAAAAAATTCGTGCTCAGAATCGAAAATTTCCACTCTCGATTTACATTTCTGATGTAAGGATCAAATTTGGTTCGACTCCTGTCTGTCTGTAATTAATATTGATGTGACAGGCATATTACCTACTATCAGTCATCCGATTTTCATGGAATTTTTAGGAATGTTGGTGCGGTTTGGAGCCTAGATTTGGTCCCATGTAAATTTTATCAAACTCCATCGAGCACTTCTGGTTGCACACGTGTAAATATATTTTCTTATATATGCCAATATTTCAGAAATTGGTTGTTTGATTTGGCTGAAAGTTGAAAGAAAAATAGGTTTTGGTAAAATAATGATTGTGTATCAGTTTTATTAAATTCCACTCCCTGCTTTCTATTATATATGGCAAAAGTGTTTTTCTTAATATCTTCAAAAGTGTTTGTTAATTTTAAATTAATGTGCTGGTTAAAGAGAAGTTTATTGTTGAGTGTTAGACCTAAGCATTTACATACTAAGCAAGCGAAATTGGAGAATAATTTAAAATTATTTTCGGCAAGATTGTAGGACATCATTTGTAAAAATAATAACTTCAGTTTTGTCTATATTGATGTATTACTCTATAGTCATTTTGCACAGATTACTCTACAATCATTTTGCATAAATTACCTTACAGAAAATATTCTTTTATTTATATTAAATAATAAATATATTATGATGTAGAGACGGTTGACAGTGATATAATATGAGAAGGAGGTGGGAGGGGAGCGGTCAAATAAATACTAAATTTAGTATTTATTTGACCGCACACCCCGACCAACTCCTCAAATAAATATATTAATCCCTTTGTTACAAATTACATTTATGATTTTTTAAAATAAAATTTGATTGGCGGCCATCACTTTTAAGTGGTGAGGGAATGAAACACAACTTAGTAATCTTTTTTAATATTATGTTAACTGTTTATTTTAAAATTCTAAACTAAAGAATTTCAGAATCTTTTAGCCTCATATTTATCAACTCTGTTAATAATAAAACTTATAGCTGGTATCCTAAAATTTTAATTTATTAATTATCTAAGTTATTTGTTTCAGATTTATTGTGGTTTGTCTCCTGTTGAGTTCAATGGAAGGTGGAGAGCTTGGAAATCGATGGTTAGATCAAAAATAAGTGCTGGGACATTTAGCGCATTTCCACATCTGCTCAATGTTATGAATGTAAGTATTAAATAAGATATACAAATATGACTTTTTATTAGTGATATTGAGAAAATTGTTTTATATAGCATTTGAAATTTTTTTTTTTTTTCCTTTTTTTCATTTTGGTAACAGAGTTTAATATTTGGTATTAAACAAGCCTACCAGCCCGTGACTAAAAAAGGTGTCATATTTCATACTAAGCTTTGTCCTTATAAATTGACCATATTCACAGGCCTGATGAGAAAAATGCACGTCTGCCAGGATATAGCCATTGGAATATAAAATGGTGGCCATGTGAAGATCGATAGAGACCCTACATAGGTTGTAAGCGCATATATAGAGAGGGCCCATAGATATATAAAGCTACCAATCCTTTAGATTTATAGTATTTACAGTCTTAAGACATGAAATAATAGTCAGTTACCTTATATCCGTGGATTTCAAGTCAAAAAAATAAATTAACAAAAACTAATATAACCATTTCTATTGCAAATTTTGTTAGCTTTAATTTCACAAATGACGTTATTCTAGATAAAACGTATAGTTTCATTGATATAAGTGAAAAACCGAAAAAGTAAACTTTTTGAATCATAAATTCATTTTTGCCACTTGAAATCCACGAGTGTGAGGTAACTGACTATTATTTCATGTCTTAAGACTGTAAATACTCTAAATTGAAAGGATTGGTAGCTTTATATATCTATATTTGATTCGGACTTTTTACCTCATCTTCCCTGCTTTCCAGACCTTACCCCATCTGATTATTGTTTCTTTCGTTAAAAAATTTTCCTCATGATGAATGTCACAAATCCGAAAGCTAAATAAAAACAGATCCCAATGAATATTTTGCAAGTAAGTCTCAAGGAATTTAAGCGACTTCCTATTATAAGTCAGACAGAAAATTGATTTATTCTTTTCTACAAAGTTTAACCATTAAATAAATTATTAAAATATTCATTTCATATTATTTCTCACTGATGCTTATTTCACATGATTTCCTGTTGTAACTTGCTTATACTCAAATTTAATATTAAATCATCTTAATATAATTGGTGCAATTATTGTTTTGCAGATTTTAGGTGGAGTTGAACCATTGTTTCCACTCTTGAAACCACATTGCCATACTTGGTATCAAATGTTGACAGCCATATTACAGTTCTCTGATCCTATGGTGAAAGTTCATGATCTCAATTACTACGCTCAGCAATGTATCGATCAATTTGGTGGCTTGTCCAAGCTTAGACTATTGGATCATACTATTCTTGCTTTGTTCGACGCTGATCTAGCTACGGTAAGTTATAATAACAATAATGGTTTTAAGAAACATTGATTTAATTTAATGTCTATTTTGTTACTTTAAGGTAGCTTTTAGTGTCTCAAAGGCTATGGATACTTAACAACAAGAAAAATTTTTGATACAATTTTAATAAATAATGTATTATGAATTAAATTTTAAATATATATATATATATATATATTTTTTTTTTTAAATGACAAAACTTATGTGCAGACATTCATGAAAAACAAAGAAAACATTTAAAACTGAATTGACATAAAGCTTCTTCTGCTTGATAGCTTTATAATAACAAAGTTATTACGATCATATTATGTTTTAAACTAAAGAAAACAAATAATATTCTAGTTCATTTTTCCTATGATATTGTAATATATAAAGGTTTTTTCTACAAACTGATCTAGATAAGAAAACATATAGTTGTCCATGGAGAAAACAGTCCTCTCTTACGTTGACTTCCAATATATTGGGTTGGCAAATAAGTCCTTTCGGTTTTTCTGTTTATTTTTATGTCACTATGATACACTTCTTATCTGAAGAGTTAATCCCTAAGGTGAATTGTTTATTCTGTTTGCAATATGTCAACAATTATGTCTGTTAACTCTTGTTGAAACTAGCTTAGTATTGTGTTTGCTATTGCACTGTGAATATGGAAGAAGCTCATTGAAAATTTTGCAGTGTTTATGGGGATGATGCCGAACGCACCTGTCAAAATTGGTTTGCTAAATTTCTTTCAGGAAATTTTGACATCAATGATGCTCAACAGTCTGGTCGCCCACATGAAATTGAACCGAGCAATGTTAAGGCCATTGTTGATCAAAATCCCACCCAATCAGTGCGAGAGGTTGCTATGGCCCTAAAAGTGTCTTCCAAAAGAGTAGAAAACAAGCTCGGCTATGTTTCCGGGCTTAACATTTGCGTCTCTCATTCTCTAACCAAAGTCAACTTGCCAATATGCATTTCTGCTTGTGATTCACAATGGAAACGGCAACAAAACGACCCATTTTTGAAAAGGTTGGTAAAGGAGATGAAAAATAGATATTTTACGATAATGTAGTCTGTAGAAAATCTTGGAGACCTAGTAGTGAGCCTTCTAGAACAATGTCAAAACCCGGATTGCATCCAAAGAAGAAAATGCTTTCCACATGGTCGGATATGAGCTATTGCCATCAGGACAAACAATTGATTCAACTCTATACTGCTTACAATTAACAAAATTGGATCAATCAATTAAAAAAATCGGAGTGCTGTGTTCGACCAAGAAAACGCTAGGCCCCACACCTCATCGGTCACTCGCAATAAATTTTGAGCCTTGGATGGTACCTTTTACCCCACCCTCCCTATTCACCAGACCTAGCTCCAAGTGACTACCGCTTATTCCAGTCTCTGCAGAACTCCATGAATGGAAAGAAATTCCAAAAGGAAGAGGACATCAAAAACCACTTGCATCAGTTTTTTAACAATAAACTACAGGTATTCTATGAATATGGTATTACGCAGTTATTGGAAAGATGGAAAAAATTCATATTAAATAATGGTCAATATATTGTAGATTAATTTAAATTTTATGTCTATAATACATTGAGTTTTATTTTACCCTGAAAAACTATAAGGACTTATTTGTCAATCCAATACTTAAAAGTTTGTTTCTGCGCTTTATTTAGTCACTACTAAAGATATCTTTAGGAAACTGTGTTTACATAATTTCTCAGTATTCTAAAGTGATAAATGTTACTACTCTGTTCCTCGGGATCATTGGGTAAGGTTATGAAGGTGGAATCTTCCTTGCTGAGCATTCAATTCAATGCAAAAAAAAATTTAAATTGGTCTGATGATTTCTGAAGAAATTAGTGCATTCAAATAAACAAACTCTTCAGCTCTAACTCAAAAGTTTAACAAATACTGATAACTTTCACTCTGAATGGAATATGTTGAAAACCTATTGATTTCTTGTCCTAATAAGAATAATTACGCTATCAAATTCAATAAAAACTCTAGAATTAGAAGTAGTGTTATATTTCAGAACTTAAATAAGTATAATAATGTAGATTATTTATTTATATTGCAGGTTATAAAAAAATTGCAACTAACAGCTGATAATGGCTGGAGTGCAGTTCATCTTACAAATTTGTTACATCTCAGCGGATGTTTGAATAAATCTCCGTAATTATACTTTCAGTTAAATTTCATGTTAGTTATTATGTTTGCTTTTTTTTAAAATGTTATTGCGTCTATTTTTCAGAGAAACAGCTGTAGACTTGGAACCTATGTTGCTTGAATACGGTCAGCTACTGATGTCTCATAAACGTTTTTGGCAAATTGGACTTATGTATCTTAAGTACTGTCCTACTCATGGTAAAGAATCGATAGCAATACAATTGTGTTCTTTACCCATTGATAATACTAAAATTGCTTTTAAAGTTATCGAAGCTGCTCGAAGTAATGGTCTCTATGATGTTGGTAAGTAGCAATAAAAAATAGAATTTCTTTTAAAATCACTGGGAGGGGAGAGGGGAGGGGTTAATACTCATATCCAGACCTCTGGTCTGAAGAGAGGTCATCCAGGGATTTGATAGTGGAATAGGAAGAGGAAATCGGGGAAGTGACAAATATGTCCAGGATATCAGGTCGTTTTTTGAGGGAGGTTGGCCAATAAGTAGGATTCATAGGGGTTAGGATGGAGTAACTATTGGAAGTTCAGACAGAAGATGGTCTGTTACCACGGGAGTCGGACGCTCGACAACCCCATCGTTGGTGTTTAGCGTTGTAGTCTCCTCCAGCAACTGTTATTAAAACCATTCTATTACCATGTCATCAACTTAATATCTATAGAATTTATAGATTTAAAAACATTATTTTTCCTAATTATGAACTTTTTCTTATTCATGAACTAGGAAGGTTATACATTTTTTTCTAAATTAATAACTTAAAATAATAAGATACACTTAAAAAAAAGTTGTAACAGGCGGACCAACCCCCATTTTAGAAATTATAAAACTGTTCATTTAATTGTACAACTCGTTTCTCAAATTATATAACTATAATTACATGTATTCTGCTGTTGAGATTGTATTATTTTTTTATTAACATAAAATAAATGAAAAAACCACAGTTCTGATAAATTTTTAATTTCTTTACATTGTGCTTTATTACAAATTTATATTATTATGTATTTATAATTATTCTTATTGCCAATTTGTAAACATAATAAGAGCGAAATAATTTTAGGAATAAGAAGTGGTGGTGTCTTCGTTACGGTCTGTCCCACTATTTTTTATTTAATAAAGAGATTTTTATTTGCACATTATCTATTTTTATTTTTGTTTTTGTTTCAGTGAAAAGTATCTGTAGAGTTTTGGCTATGAAACATGTAAAGGAAGGTAATTACGGCAATGCCTTGACGTGGGCCCTGACATCTAAGGATGCTGAAGTAATGACACAAATAGCTGACAAATATTTATACAAATACTCTACGGGAAGCTCAGATAAAGAATTAAACTGCCATAATATATTAACTGGTCTCGGTCAGTCCGTTTTTTCCAGTGGAAGGCTTACTTTTTTGTGTAAGTTATTATATTTAATTTTTATTATTAATAAAATAAAATTATGGTTTGAAATATGTAACAATATTCCCATAGCCTATTTTAATTGAAAATATTTTATTTTTAACATTTTGGCTTGTTTTCCATTTCCGAACAAAAATTTTCCTTACAGTACATTACTCTAGACATTACATGTTAAAAATAATTTTATTGACAAAATATTTTTATCATAATTTTTTCTTTTTTTTGCCATCATGTCAATTACTTATTTTAGTAACGGGTTGTTATTGAATAGTACTCTCAGTTTCCGTTTTTCTTTCAAAACTAAATAAAGGCTGTCATTTATGAAGCAAAGGAAACTTTATACCTATTGGTTATATTCATACTAATTTGAGGGTTTCTAAATTTTACTGCAAAATAAAAAAATGAAATCAGACCATTATTGGCAAAGATGCAGTTCATTAAAATTTGTTTATATCTTTGATTTATTGTAAAACGTTATTAAGTGACATTACATAACCTAATATCACTAAGAACTTTGATGAATTTTCTATTTATGATATATTAACTATATTTGATATATTAAAGAGTTTGTATTATTTTAGTACACTTTCTATGTTTTTTTGATGAATAATGTAGAATTTTGCAAACAGTTTAGCTTCATCAAAAGTGTACTTAATGACTTTGTGTTTTAACGACAGGATATTAATTTTTCCCTCATAAAGTAGTTTATTTATTTATATTCATGTTATATTACCATTTATTTTATGACCAATAAATGTAATGAATCAGCTGCTTTAAGACTTGATTCTGTAAATATTCTATTTTCAGGTAAATACTGTGATTTTCAAAGATGTTATCAGCAAGGCAAAGTTAACGAAGCTGCTTCTATATTGATTAAGTTGTTAGAATCGAGGATATCTCCTAAATAGTTAGTATATTCAATTTAATTTTTATAAATATTTTCATTATAAAATAATAATTGTTAATTCTTGTAAATTTTGTTTTCCTAGTTTTTGGTTTACACTCCTGTTAGACGCATTACCTTTGTTGGAAATGAAAATAGGAACTCCAGTATTTTCTCACGAAGACAGCAACATTCTTTTGGCCAATTTGGAGGAACTGGCGATCGGGTGGGTCGATAACCCTGTAAGGAAGACACATAACTTTAACGACCAAATAAAAATTATCCGATTGGCTATTACAAAAAATCTTGCCAGAACACTTCTTCTGCAGTCAAATGCTCCTACGAATTCCAACACTATTATATGCTATTAAATAGTAAACATTATAGTTAGATTTTGTACTTTATGAAGTTTATTAATTTATCTTTTATAAATTTTAAATAAAATCTTTACCATTTGTTTTATTATTATTGTTTGAATAACTCAAGTGTATTTTTGTCTAAATTTTTTGAATATTTTAGTAAATATTCATATTTTAAAAAAATAATCATTAACTATTATTTATTTCAAAATTTTTAAAATGTTTTTTGATCAAATAAGCAGAGACCAGATTTGTATTCAGTAAAATCCATAAAATAAAGAACTCAAAAATAAAATTTTTTTTTTATAACATCTTTTCCAAACTTTGTCTTCAAATAAATCCATGGACTTATAAATATCCTATACTTGATAACCATAGCTACTTTGTTAGATCAAAGCTATACTAACCCATAAAATGAAAAGTTTTACTAAATGTATCATTTGAACCATAAGTGGGAATTCTATGATCTGCAGAGAAAAAACCTAGCTACAAGTCTTTTTTAAACTTGTTTTAGCTGAATACATTCAACGCGTAGTAATTAATAAGTATAATTATTAAAATTTTATATAAATTTGCGAATGTATTGAAAAAAATGTGATCAATGCTTTTGTGCTAACAGTTAACATGAATCCTGAATGGCCCATCTATGCTAACCCTCCCCGAAAGCATCATTAGCTACATTAAACCTCTACTTGCAATACGTGGATTTCGCCTGTTGTTTGATTTTAAATACCTTATTTTTCTTTTATTAGATCATTTCATATAATTAAAAGTATGAGAATCCTAGATTTATAAGCAACTGAAAGAATAAAAATATATGATAAATATAATATATATTTCTTCAAGAATCATAAAAGTTATTTTAATTAGATCAAATCATGCCAAAAAATACTTTCTTTATGTCGACCATGGGTCCATAAAGCTTATAAATATAGATTTGCAATGGTTTGCACACAAATTTGACATGAGTAGCAGATAGTGCACACTATAAGATTTCTTGGAGATTGGGGTACTTGGTCAAAAAAGAAAATTAATATATATTTGATAAAAATATCAATTTATTTAAAAACAAAATATTTATATAACTATAAATAAATACAAATACAATATAATCTAAAGTTAATTAATGTTAACAAGAGTTAAAAATTCAAACTTTGTTTTAACAAATTAACTAAAATGCTCCATAAACAGTTCGTTTATAACTAACTAATTAAAATGTTCCAAAATATTAACAAAGAATTAAATAAAAATTAATTAATGCAATGAAAAATGGGGTTAAGATTGTTAGCATTAAATAGATTTCAGTAAATCTTCATGTTCTTTTATACATTGATAAAACATATTCTTAAAATATCAAAATAAAAATTAAATAGCAAAAATAAGTCATTTATATTGTATGTTAGTAAAAGTGTTACTATCTTGAAATAAATAAACAAAAATATGCCTTTTGATATACAAGCGAATTCTCAATATTTTTATATATTTCCTAATGAATTGGTTCTACTTGATCAAATTTAAGCACTAATTTTGTTTTAAAACAAAAACAAACTATCAGAAACAAAATAACTCTTTATTGGGAAGATGTAATGCTTATACTGCCTTATTTTCTTGCAAATGCCTCTCTGTAGTAAAAAAGGATGCTTTGGACCTTTTGAATTTTCATTGTTTTTCAGTACTTCAAAATAAATCAAATCGAATAGATCTTGAATGATGAAATATTTTGTCAAGTAAATTTCTGTCATCCATATTATTTTAACTCATGCTTTTACTTTAATTTTTACTTATACTATTGCAACACTGGAGGATGTCCTAGGCCCAAAATTAGCTTCTGTTGTTAAATCTTGATAAATAAGCTCCTCGTTTTGGTAAATAAAGAATGCTTTGACTTTCTTTCCTTTAAGTACATGAGGTAACCAGACTGTCATATCTTGCCACATTTTGTCATACGGAACGTCACTCAATGGGAACCATTCAGGTGTCATTTCTGAAAATGATGTCATTAATGAAGATATTTAAAAGTTTTCTAAAAAAAAGAGTGAATATTGTTTTGTGGATATAAAAATCTTACATGATTCCATACTTTTCTATTATTTAGTATTATATTGTATTAATTTTAACCAAGAATAAACTTTGAGACAGTAAAAAACCTCACTATCCATGAAATTGGAACATTGGACCGGACGTTGACCAAAAGTTTTAGTTCCTTTGGGTACTTCAGACAATAAAACAATCTTTAATGCAATCGTTATTTTTTTTATTGGTATATATCAACTGAACCAGATGTTAACATTTTATTTCACTAATTTGCCAGATCGTTTAGCTCTACGTCTAATTATTTGACAATTAGATTTTTGGTAACTGAAGGCCATGTTATAAAATCATAACTCAGTTACCCCAAAGCACCTTATAATTTGTGTTTTTTAATACCTTAATAAATATCAAAATTATGATGATAGACCAATAATATTAAAGTTAAACTGCCCAAAAGATAACTGTCTGAAGATTAATAATCCGAGAACAGCCAAACCTGTTATAAACGTACAATAAAAAAACATGACACTTGAACTTTTTAAAGATTGATATCTTTACGAGTGTCTATATACATAGCTTTTTTTGGAAGAAGACCAGCACAATTTAAAAATTACTATCTTCTCATTTTTCCGTGATTGAAATCCACAAGCTAATTATTATCACGCAAAAGTTGAAAAGATTTAATGTCTCGAGTTGTAACATTCTTCTTACAAGCTAGTAATACAAACAATTCAAGGGATTTCATATTAATTAAGTATGGAATAACATGTGAAACTAAACAGAAGTCCATATAATTTAACATATGTTTATTGGTGAAAAAAAATTGATATGTACCTATCACTTCAAGTTTTTATTTTTTAAAAATCTGGTAAAAATACTATGTCAATTCAATAGACATCAATATTTCATACTTTCTCATCTAAATCTAAAGATGAATATTTGTGCAAAGAAATATCTTCTTTATAAAACTTTTTTCATTGCAAATTATAATTAAATAATTATTATTACATGTTAATAATAATAATAAATAATTATTATTGAATACCTTTAGTTTCTTTAATGTCTCCTGAGTATGAGTCAGACATAAATATGTGGAACTGAAGCAGTTCTTGGACACCTGCAAATTTAACTTCTATTTTTCCAACTTTCTCTAACTTCTCTATTGTGATACCACACTGCTCTTTAGGGTTCCTAATAATAGAATAAAAGTTAATTAATGTAATTTCAGTAATAAGGAACTAATGAAATAGGAAAAAAGGATTATTTGATATCAAAACAAGTCAAATATAACATTAAGATGTATAAATACATCATACTTAATAGCGCAGGACTGCAAATCTTCTTTAGGTTGTAGGACACCTCCAGGAACGCAGTATTTATCTTTATTAAATCCACGTTTGCATAAACCAAGCAGAACTTTATTCTCATTTTTGACAATAACCAGAGAGATTCGAAGAATTCTCATCGTAAATCTACGAGTTATTACGGGTTTCATATTAATGCTGCTTTATTTCGCTATAAGAAAACAGCTAGCTATAATATCCAATCCTGTTGAAACTCCCAAGACAATTGATAGTTAACTATTTTATAAGCTGATTCAAATTGAAGCGGTCTTTGCAGGTTTTTGTTTTTTCCGTTTCTACTACTGTTTGTTTACATAAATAAGAACATAAAATTTATTTCTAAAATAGATAATGTTTTATTATAATTGTGCAAAAAAATGAAGAATAATTATTTTAACATTTTTATTTTTAAAATATGCCAATTTTTTTTATATATCCTGTCCTATATACCGAAAACAGATGATTATAGGTCGGCCATATCGCCTGGCTTTGCTGATTTGTCGAAATTGAATGAGTTCTGTCATTCTTATCTTTATGTGTGTAAATTGTTTTTAAAAACTTAGTAAAGGTTAAAATCTTACAATCCAAGGTTAGTTAAAGTAATTTTTCTGGTGTTTTTTCTCATTAGTTTTAAATTTTATACCTAAGAATACATTAGGAAACGATAACTTGTAATATTTTTTATTAGGTTTATTTATGTCATTAATGGTATAAATTTGTTTTGTGTTAAATTCTTTTACATGGCTAGAAACAGTGTTTTATAGATTTCTGAGTGAAATTAAATTTAAATGTGTTAAATTATGATGAACACTTCTGATAGTCCCTGTAACTTGTTTACTCTTTGGATAGTGTGGTGGTTATCTAGTGTTCTTTTCTTATGGTTTTGATTTTGTAAATTTTAATTAGTGACTTGCTTTTGTATGATGTAGGAGACAATAACGAAGTAAAGTGTTAATGTAAAGCAATTATTTATTGTGTGCCATTGACTGGCTCATCATTTATTTATCAACTTCAGGTTTGAACTTTTATGTGTCCTATTTTTGAATTTTTATTAATATCTTATTTATTTATTGATGGTATTTGTATTTTATTAAGTAATTACACCTTGTTTGCTTTATGCATTAAGAAACTACTTTATTAAAGTTTTAATGTGACTGTATTTTCGATTTTGCATGCGGTTTCTTTTTCTTATGTGTTTCTCAAAGTTCAAATTTAAGTAAAATTGATTTTTGTTTTGTTACATTTACACATACCAGTCATTCTTTTTGTGTTGACTGTTATAACTATTTCTTTTTGAATGTGCTTGTTTGTTGCTGTGTTTTATCATGAATTTTATAAACTGTTTGCTGTTTCTGTGTAATCTAAATGTAACAAATATTTCTGGCATACAGATAGATTGATACCAATGAATTTGGAGTCGAGATCTACTGGTAATTGCACTGCATATTTTTATTTCATGTATATTGTAATTCTGCTAAGAATTTTATCTCGATTTACAAATTTTAATGTGCTTACCATATCAGTTAATAAAATATTTTAAAAATTATTTATATAATTGGATAGAAATCCTAAGAAGATTAGCATCTAGAGCTTCCTAAATCAATATTACTTAATACTAGTAAATAGAAATTTTCTGTTGCAAGAATCATTAAGTTTTGTATCATTGTATTAGTTCTCATTTGTGAGTTTGATTTTTATCATTTATTAAATATTATTTTAAAAAGTAAATAATTGTTCTTTTTTTGTTTTAATAACTTATATTTTAATTAAAGATGCGGCGGCGTGAAGACATGCAGGTGAATGTGGCAGGGCTCCGACGTAACATAAAAAATCTAGCTCATAATTACTCTGACGCTCAGGTTAGTACATCTGTATTAATGTCTTACGTATTAAATATGTCCTCAAGGTCATATGCTATGATTTATGGCCCTATTGTTGTTTACATAATACCTTGTAACAATATGAGGTCTGATGTACTTTATATCTAAGCTTCTTTGATTGAATTTATGGTTCTAGGTTCAACGACCTTAAATACCTTGTACTTATTCAATTTTATTGCTTCTTGCATTTGTTAATACAAAATTATTACTATTCTTTATGTCTGTGATTGCTTGAAATTGAATAAATCATCATTTATTAGAAAAAATTCCTTTTAATGATAAGATAAAGTAAATAATTTTTATAAATGAACTGTTAAATAATGTTGACATTGTAAATATTGTTGCTGACTTTTTCTTGTAAAAGTGCACATTGTTTGGCATTCTCAAATAGCATATCAAAATTATAGAGGAGTTGAGTTTTAATATGAGGGGTTTTAATTCATAAAAAATAATTGCCTATTTAATTACTTGAATAAAAAAACAGTTTGTTTTAGTATTAGGCCTAAATAAAAAAAAATAAAAAAATTTTGATTTCAAATATACTAATTGCAAGTGATGATTTTTATTTTTTTAAATTTCCCTTAAATTGGAGAATACGTAATAAAAGTATTCTTTTGAAATATTTTCAGCTAAAATTATCGAACACTGGAAACAAAAAGCACTTAAAAAACCAAACTCATTTATAGAGCTACTAGCTGATGTGTCTGTCATTGACGGGTGTATAGTTGAAATTTGAGAATATTTTTTTGAGATGGATTTTGTATTATGGGGGGATGGTTCCAAATTCAGTTTCATAAAATTGAATCAGAAGGGAGGAGGAAGTTGTTTTGAAAGTTTTTATGGTGGGGTTTATGGAAGTTAAGATTTCGCAATAGTTACAACAGAAAACTTTGTTATTCGGCTATTTATTTAGGTACCACACTACTAAACCGACGACCACGTTCCATTAAAATTAGTTAAGTGTTTAATTTTCATTTATGATGAAGCGAGGAGAATGAGGGTCCATTAATTAATATAAAAGAATTGTAGTCTCTCCTCTTCTTTAAACTCTGCTGAGTTTATCACTGGCAAAATAACATTCAACATTGAGTCACCTAAATCCTTGTAAAATTAGAAGTTGATCTGAATATTGTGGCGGGCGGTGTGAAATTATTTTGATTATTTTCCCCTGATTCCAGCTAATCTGTTTGGTTAATCCTAAAAATGTATATGAAAACATTTGTTAGACTCGGGAATTTAAATCGAATGACACCTTGAACATGAAGGACAAAATTGAAAAATGATTGTGTTTTACCTGTTTTATGCGACAACGCGTTGCAGATGTTCAGTATTCCAGATTTTTCCGTTTGATAATTTTTTCCATCAGTTGAGTAGTACAATTTTTAAATGTGGCTTGCGATAGAGTAGGTTGGGATGAGAATCGAAGTAAGTAACTGCCTAACCAGGATATCTAGACAAATTACTCAAGAACTATAACTTTGGTTCTACTCAATATTTTGTTTTCATTTAAAGCCTATATTTTAATTCAAGCAAAACTTAATATAATCTCAAAATTTCAAAAGTCTACCATTAGCCATTGCCAAGCTTACTTCTGACAAAATTTTGTTGGACAATGCAGACATCCAGACAGACAACAAATTTTTAAAAGTGGATTTGGTGTCTGTAATGTATGAAACAGGTTGATTCTATTCAATGCACAGACAAAACCTTAATTTTATTTATATAGATGACCTTTAACATATAAACATATGTTTATTATCAACATTAACCGAGATCTCTTAACAAATTACTCAAGAATTCATAACTTTGATTCTACTCAATATTTTGTTTTCATTTAAAGCCTATATTTTAAGTCAAGCAAAACTTAATATAATCTCAAAATTTCAAAAGTCTACAGTAAGCCATTGCTGAGCTTACCCCTGACAAAATTTCATTGCAATGCGGACATACAGACAGACAAAAATTTTTTAAAAAGTGGATTTGATGTCTGCAATGTATGAAACGGAAAGATATCATAAAACGGGTTGATTCTATTCAATGTACAGACAAAACCTTTATTTTATTTATATAGATTTGAAATATTTCTCAAAATTAAAATACACTATTCTCAATCAGTCATTTAGGTTAAGTAGTTTTTTATTTTTTTGTTTAGTTTCTCTGTATATTAATATTATATTGAGGGATGTGTAACCTGACTTCTTAGGAATTTTTTGTGAAACACTCCTCTTTCTTGTGGAAACCCCATATCAACCACATGCTTCTTAGAATACACATCAGGAAAATTCCTCAAGAATAGATATACTATTAGTATGGGTGGTAAATATTCAGGTCGCAGTCATTATAAAGTTTTTATTAGTACTGACGTTTCAACTCAAACATGTGGGTCATCATCAGGGCGTGTTTCGAGCACTGAAGGTATTCAAGTACTGACACTTTGGTAGGTAAGTCAACGTCGACACTAATAAAAACTTTATAATGACTGCGTCCTGAATATTTATCACCCATGATACTTTATATTATTATATTCATGTTAGACACCAATAAAAACTTTATAATGACTGCGTCCTGAATATTTATTACCCATGATATGTAAAACAGTCGACTAACTTCCTTAATAATGTACTATTAGTAGTATACTTTGTATCATTATATTCATGTTTAATTAGTTTCTATTTTAAATAATGCAGCCTGTACAAGGTTTCATATCCACACAAAATGTGCTAAACCTCTAGAGTCTGATCGCAAGTGGATTCTTTTCTTCTGCTTTCATTTTATTAAGGTGACAATTTAGCAGTGTAGACCCATTATTGTTTTCAACTCATTTTTTGCCATATTTAAATAGAATTTAGTCTCATAATAAGGAAACATATTTATATTCTGTTCATTATACTTAGATTTGGTGTCTTGAGATTTTCATTTTTATAAATTAAGGCTACATTCCACCATTTTATTTATTTTTTATTTTGACGTTTCAAAAAAAGAATTCTGAATTATTTAATAACCTCGAAAATCAAACTCAAAATATACCTCATGCCAAACATTTTGAAAAATGTAGCACTAAATATCATTCAATAACATGTATTAAAGAATTAACTCGTAAATTCGAAAGGACTTTCAGGGAATATTATCTATTGAAAATTAAATTAAGAACAAAGCCAGTAAATAAAATTGAAAAAAATATGTACTAATACTAAAGATAATATACCACGTGACATTAAAGTAATGTTATTTAGAAAATAAATTGTAAAATTTATACAAGTAAATCTTATAAAGGACACACTGGACAATGGTTCTCAAAAAGAATAAAACAACATGATCAAAACTGCAAGTCCGAATCAAACATATCAACCAGCCTTTGAGAACACGCAACATACAACAAACATCAATTTGATTTCAAAAATATTAAAATAATACATAAGAAAAGTAATAACAATAAAAGAAAAATTATTATTATTATTATATATTACTAAAATTCGAAGAATCCCGAAAACCAACATTCAGATGTAGACAATATAAATACCTTCTACGCTAATATAAGAAACAATATTTGGATATAATATAATAATTAATTTAAATTGCAAAATTCAATTAATTAGATAAAATAATAAACCATTACAAAATAATAACCCTCTCCCTTTTACCATCCTCACCATAGATGACAAGGGGAAACCCTAAAATATTTTGACAGTTTAATTCTTCTCAGAATAAAGAAAATGGTATTGTATATGGACATTTAGTTAGAGGACTCAATTAAGGTAACAATGTGGTTTGTATAATGTTTAAAGGTTACATGCGTGATGGGCAATAAAAAAGGATAATAATTGATATAATGTGTATGATAAATGTATGAAAAAATCAGTATATTAACTGATAGTATGTATGAAAATTAATCTGTGTGGACTTATAAAAAATAAATAAAATGTTAGGAATATGTCCTTAATTTATAAAAATAGAAACATATTTCTTCATGTTAAGAAGTAACAGTTTACTCAACAAGTAATTACCTTGCTCGACAGAAGGAATATCCTTTCTGATTAACATTTAAGCAGGACACTTACTTGGACCAATCGTCTTTGCCCGTTTTCAAGTGTAACTATAATTGAATAAGTAGCGAGACTGTATACTAGATCATGTATACAGCCATGTACCATCGCGCTTGTTGAAAAACAAACCGGCTTCAGCCTCGGTCGGTTCAAGGAGGGACAGAAGTTGGAACCAGTTGGCTAAATCGATATAATAACCTTTTGTAGCTAGGAAAAGCTCTACCATTTAAATAATTGTATAACTCCGTTTATCTATAATCCTTTCTGCTACAACCAACAATCAATATATTTATTTCTTTTAAAGCAGACTATTTTTTGTAAATTCAAAATTCATGGGAAACTCTCTACCTAGTCAGTTATATTTACATTAATATTTATAGAGGACAAGTTGGTGCCGTACTTGAAGCAATAAGGCTACTATCTGTAAACTTATACTAACCCTTTATTGTACTTATTGAAACCTACTGGGTTTGGATTAGAAGTGTAGGATTTGTTTTATAACATTTTCTTTTGCAATATCTATAGTTAAGAATGTTTTAGGATTTAAGCTGGGAATCTCATTACAATCCTTGTAAGTCTCATCCATTGCTGCCTATGTTGGGCCATTTTTTCCCCAGTTATCTGTAAAAAACTCTATTGCATCTTTCTTTATTCAATCTATCCATCTGGTTTTTGGCCTTTCACATGGTACTTGCTTACCGTTGAGGCATTCATAGTTGTATAGAGGTTTCCTAATTGATTACTTCAAGCTACATCATTCTCTATCACTTATAGAAACCTAAACAACATATCATATATATCTTTATGCCATGCAACAGGTAATATTTTATACATAATCTCAAAAACATTAGATTATAGGATTTTAAAATGTAAGGGCTGGTACGGTCTTGACGTCCACACAGAAATCTTAAAAATCCGAATCATTTCTGTTGGGATTTTGAAACTTCTTACATTTTTCTATCATTCTTATTAATGTTGTAGGAATTTAAAAGTAAAAATTGAGATTTGATACTCTTCTATAAAATTTTCTTTCTCTTGGAAACGAAGATACCAGAAGAAAGAGAAAGATATCTATAATAAAGAATTATTATGGAGTGATATTTATTGTTTGAATTTTGTCAATCTGCTGATCATTTCTTATTAAAAAGACTGATTATTTTTCAGCTTGCTTATTTGAAAAGACTCTTAAATCTGTAATGATACACATCCAGCTGTTTTATTAGATTGGAAAGTACACGTTCATGCTTTTTTATCACAAGATTATCAAAATAATGCTTTAAGGGGAGGTAAAATATATTATCACAGCCTGGATATAGATCCCTCTAAAGCCTGCTAAATTGCTTTGATGAAAATAACATCAAGCATTATGATTTATAGATGGAGTGACTGAGGGGCCGACGAGTGTGTTTGCAAAACATGGTGTTAATAAAATAAATAAAATTAAAGTAAAATTAAAATAAAGTTTGAGTCCTAGTCAAGTGAAGTAAAATTATTTTCTAGTATTTTCCAATTTATTTTTGTTTTTATATTTTTTGATGATAAAAATTATGATTAATATCACTTTATAAGGACAATTATTTATACCTATTTATATCTATTTTTGGTTTAATTCCTCTCTCAAATTTTCAGATAAAAGTACGAGAAGCAACGAGCAATGATCCATGGGGTCCTAGTAGTACGCTGATGTCTGAAATTGCCGACCTTACTTACAATGTAGTCGCATTCACAGAAATAATGCAAATGATATGGAAACGCTTAAACGATCATGGTAGAAATTGGAGACACGTTTATAAAGCTCTATTACTTTTAGAGTATCTTATTAAAACTGGTTCCGAAAAGGTATGTATTGTATGCTGTCATCTTGTGTCTTAAACTGTTTTCTTTGTCACATCACACACACACATATACACACACTGAGACAGGTTAACCGTCTCCACTATCTCCTTCGATATAAATTCCGTCAACTCCTGGTTTCCTCCCTTGTGTTATCCTACTTCGACTATGGCTGTCTGGTATACAGCGGGCTCTCAGGAGAAATCGAGGCCAAACTTAAATGCCTAACGAACTGCGCAATAAGTTTTATTTTTGAAATCTCAAGAGATACGCATATAACCCAGTATTATACCAAGTTGAAGTGGCACTATCCATCCAACCGCCATCTGTACTTCCTTGCTACCATTCTATATCAAGCCATCAGAACTCAGCGGCCTTCCTATATTTTCACAGCCTACATTTTAAATATTCCATTCAATCCCGTTCCATTAGATCTCGTACCTCTGACCTCTATCCACCTCTCCACCGAACTGCTGCGTTAGACAAATCCTTTATAATTCAAGCCGTCTCCTTCTGGAATACCATCCCTGCCGATATCCATCTTGTACAATCAGTTTTCTCATTTAAATCTCTCCTTTTTAAGTGTCTACTCTTTTCCCAACCCGTTTGATCATGAAATATAGATAAGAGAACTTTTTAAAGTTCTTTCAGAAATGATTTTGTTTACTTATGTTATTTTATTTTCCCACTTTGTATTATACTTATATGTTCTTAGTGTTATTGTTTTATTCTTTTTCCAATATTTTAATCTTAATGAGAATCGTAAATATTTAATTTAATGTATGGCCACACAGGCATTTATTCTGTATCTATAATTTGTCCTAAACGGACAACAGTCCCAGGATAATAAAAAAAAAATATTTTCACTTCATTAATTTATGGTGGCTTCTATTTAAACTAAGTAATAAAAAAATATGATTACTTAAAAATTTATAATTGTTCTGTGAAGTTACAATTAGTAAAATCTTTGGTGTACTACTGTAGCAGTTCTCAAACTAAAAAAAATGGACTAAAAAAATTTTGTAGCAGGCTTATCTGACTAGAAAATAATGTAATAGTAGCACAGTTATTTTAAGTGGGAATGTAATATATTCTTTACCCATTTTGTTTTTTGCAATACATATAAACCAAATGAACATTTTTCTAAATATAAACTTAAATGTGATTGATTTCAATTAATTTTTTTTCCTAGACGTAATTACATGTATTTTTAGAATAACTATTCACCAAATTGACAGTTTTGACCATAATTATTGAAATTGAATATTACTGCCATGGAATCTCTGCCATAAGCTTTCATCACCTAGTTTGAAAACCCTTGCCTTATAACATGAATTAATATAAAACAATTAATATTTTTTGGCCCAAATTCTGATAATTAGAGCTTGAAATTTAAGTTTAAATTTTATTCATGATCAATTTTGATTCGACAAATTTTATTTTCCTGTTTTTCTATAAAATTGTCATTTTAAGGTTCTCTTAAAGCAATTCATTTCACTCAAAAGTAATTATAAAAATTTGTAATTTTACATGACATTCTGAGCTGCTCAAACAGATATATTAGAATTAAGCAATTCATTCAAAAGAAATATATATTTATTTAATTTAAGTCCATTTACTATTTATTTCTCGTTTAATGTAACTTATTTAATAAAAAGAAATTCAAAATTGACATTTATCGTTTTTCCTCCTGCTCTTCTTAGCTCGAGTTAGTATATTACTTTGACCTATTCTTGTATTCTAGAGCTATATTAAAGTATGATAAAAGTTTATTGTTTTCAATAATTGAATGTTTAAAAAATTAATTTCAGGTTGGTCAGCAGTGTAAAGAAAATATCTTTGCTATCCAAACTCTTCGGGATTTCCAGTATTCGGATGAGGGTAAAGATCAAGGACATAATGTACGAGAAAAAGCGAAACAGCTGGTGTCACTTTTAAAAGATGAAGAAAGGTTGCGCAACGAGCGTGCACGAGCGCTTAAAGCTAAAGAACGGTTTGCTCAGACAGCCTCGGGATTTGGCAGTGACACGACCTTGGTAAGGATATAACTCTTTCTTTTTTATTTTTAATTACAAACAACTATGGTGACTCACTTTCGCACAAATTATCAACACACCAATGCTTCTCACTAAATAGTAATAATTTTTATTCGATGTGGTTTAAATTCTCTTTATAATTTTTAAATTAATTATTATGAAAATACACGATGTAGTGTGGTATTTACATTTATTTATAAAACTCAGTACTTTCAAATCACGTACTTGTAAATATTAGTGACTCTGTAGTCGATCTTGTTTCTTTATCATGTTAATTTAAAAAAGTAATCTTATTTATTCGAACTAAAAATATATTATTCGAAGTAAATATAAATATTCTGTGTTATTATGGATGCAATCAATATATTAAAAATTGGCTGTTTTCATTTAAAATTATAGTTGATGTGTTTGAATATAGACTACAAATTCTATTTTAATGTCTAAATTTACTTCGCTTATATTTTCTTTCTTTGTTTTTGGAATAAATTCTGTACCCTTAATGTTTTTACTCTAAAAAAAATGATAGGTCAAAAGTGACTTTCATTTGACGCTACCTATAATCGGTATTGGGCCAAATTCTAAGTTATGAAGTTAATTGTTTTTAGAGAAGCCACATTTTTCTTCAGTTAATTTGGGTCATAGTTTTTATCTAATGTTATCTCTATTTTGGTTTTTTTTTTCTTTTGTCATTTTCAATAATCAACCTTTGTAACTGACCAAGAAAAAAAAAGTTAATTCCCTTCTAAATTTGAGGTTTTATATTTCAAGGTATGTAGAATCTGAAAATAGAATAAAAAAACAAAACAAAAAAAAAAAAGAAACTCTGTCCGTCTGCCATTTTCTGTCAGCTGCTTTTTTTTTTAGAATAAAATTATCATGGAACAATTATTAGGTATTTGTTCATGCCGCACAGTCTTCTTCTTTGTCGTGCAGGAAATTGAAAAAAAAAAAATGATCTGTCTTGTTATTACATCAATCTCGTTGAACAAAGAGAGATTAGAAAGAAAATTGATTTAGACATATTTTGTAACTAAAATATGCTCCTTTTTGTTTTTAATAATATAAAGGAAATATGGTCACTAGCATTTTTCTGAAACTCATTGTTCAGCTTCGAAATTTGCACTGTTATAAAATGTTTGATACCACAGGCTTAATCATTGTTGCTATGAGTATTCACTTATTATAAAGTTGTGACTTTACTTCACTTATTGAAGTCGTACTTATATATTTCCTTTCATCTTGTTTATCAACTAAAATGAAATTTTGGTACTTTCCCTTTAATGGGGAGGGGGGAGGTCACTTGTTTTTTTTCATATTAGATGGTGTTGCCTGAAATATTAATTGCTATAAAAGCATTGGTTTTTACTTATATTAACAGTTGATTTCTGAAGGCCGTTGATTTCTTTAAAAGGATCGTATTTAGATTGATAGAGTTTAAGTGATTCCTTGCTGTACCTCTTTGCTTTTTGTTACTTTGAAGTTTCCCCACATCCTTTCAATCGTTAACATGTTTAAGCCAGTTTCAGAGTTTATGAACAGATCGTTGTTCCTGGTTTTATGTAGTTTACAATTGCTATTGTTAAATTTGGCAATGATCTATCCAGTACAGTTACTATAAATTCTTCTATAATTTGACTACATATTTCACCAAATATCCACTGTTTTGGCAATAAGTGTCTGGCATTTTTCATTGTTTTTATTGAAATGATCAATAACATTGTCTTAAGATGACAATTATTAATAAAATAACTAGCTCTTATCGTACGCAGCATCAACTGAAGTGAAAGAATAAGTGGTCTCCTGTTAAACGGAAAGTACCAACTTTTTTTTTTAGAAGAAAAAATAATTCTTTTTTATCGATTATTTTCATTTGTGATTTATAAAATAATTATTTAGAAATATTAAGATAAAACCATCTGGAATTTAATCTTTTTCTGCTCACGTGCATTCTTTATTTTTCTTTATTAAACAGAGGGATGTGTTACTCTTAACTTGATTATTATGTTATGAGTGATTATTTGTACAGTATGTGAATAAAACCTATCACTTTTTAAAGGTATAAGGGATTATTATTTCAATTTGAATGATTTATCATCTTATATAATTGCATTGAAGGTGTTGGTGGAGTACATGCACATTATAATTTATTTGTTAATGCACTGCTCGTTTTGTTTTTCTTTCTTCAGGATGGTGCATCACCTTCGAGTCCTACGTTTCAAGTGAGTTTATAAATTATCTGACATAACTTACTAACCGCATGTTATCTTTGTTTATCTTCTTTGTGTCTAGAAAATTATGTATTTTACTATTTACATTATCTAATGCAATACTATTTATACACTTTCTGTTAAGTCAAGAATCATTTCTCGATTTAAACTAGGATATACCAACGTATTCATTCAATGAAAGGTCCTACACAATCAGTTGATTGATAGACGTTGCTTTGTATATGAAATTTTTATAAAATTTGATGGTTCATTTAACTGGAAAACTGATACCTGAAATTTTTATTAGATGGACACAATGTGTCCCTAAAGGGAGAATCCATTTTGAGTGACAGTATACCGTGTTGCATTTCCAAAACTGACAGCTTTAGTTATTTATTTTTTAATGACAGTAGAGTATTTCGCTGAACTTCTTTTTTTTTGCTAGTAAACTCAGATTTCAATCTATAAAAAATATAGAAAACGTCAATATAGAAAAGTTAATAAATATTGTAAGGTTACGTTTCCTTTGAAAAGCAAACAAACAGTTTCTGAAACAAATTCTATTTATTTTAAACAATAATTATTTCTCACGTTGGGTTGAGACAACAACACACATTCCTCAAATATATAATGCAAAGGCATACATTAATTTTATATAACGTATTTATGAATATCCATTCTTTATCGGGGTCTACTCTTGGCGCGCACTTTCGAACTCACTATTTATATTTCGCTCACCCTGTTCTGAAGTGAATCTTCCTTCTATATTGTCTTCAACTTTTACAATCTTCTTTCAAGCTTCTATTCTTCCTTTGTTGACATTCACTACTTGTGGATCACATGTCATTATTTGTAGTCTCGATACTCTCTCTTAGCCGGCTGGCTACCTTCTGCCCTTCTTCCCCCACCATCTGTCATTCTTTGTCCATTTCTGACAGTAGTTCGTGACGTCATTATCTTCGCGCCACTATTCAATATCACTATGTAATATATACATTACAATATAAACTATTATATTTCTTCTTTATGAATGATTTAGAACAGAAGTCTCCGAACTATGGCCTGTGTCCGACCCGAAAGCACCTCCTATCCAGCCTGCGATACCTTCTTTGATTACATAGTCAAATTATTTTAAGAAATATGAATTTCGTTAAATCACTCAAACATGACGTTTCTATAACATTAATTGTATGAGTTTTTTTTTTCTCTTAAAAGCTCATTTCAACCCAGAAGTGTGATTTATAGATCAAACTTTTTTTTTTTCATCATAAACTATAGCCTATGGGACTTAATAGAGGTCCTTATGCGGCCCACGTGACTTCGTGAAATTCCCAATTTGGTCTGCCGGCCACAAAGTTAAAGAGACCCCTGATTTAGAACATCAGCTATTTGTATTAAAATATTGGCAAAGCCAAGACATCTTTAGTTTGATTATAAGAGGTATGAGATCTGTAAACGTTAATAAACAATATTTTTGATTCGATATTATACCGACTAATATAGATATAGATATCGATAAGGAATATCGGAACTTGTCTGGAATAGGTTGTCAATATCAAAACAACCCTAGTCATAATACATAATACACAAATGATTGCGTTAAGGTATACATCTCGTGACTTATCATTATTATGATAATATACTATTAGTATACATACCCGCGGGACGGATACTACGGACTAAGGACCAACCCAGCAGACATGGGCCTGCACTTAATAATAAATCAGGTCCATTCAAATAGTAGTTACACGTGGAAAAAATTCAGTTCATCAGTTTTTCCATGGTTCTTTGTGTTTTGTATATACACGGGTCACTGTCGACTTGATAAGCACCTCTTTAATCTGCGCTTAACGGAGACACCTATCTGTAGGAATTATATTGTGCAGGATGAAACTGCCTACCACATTATATGCAAATGTGATAGCTTCGCTAGATTGCGGTATCTTCATTTTGGAAGTGATTGTATCACTGACTCTAAGAAGCTCTGTGAATTGATCGATCCCATCAATTTGAACAATTTTGTAAAGGGATCCGGTCTGTTTTAACAGGGAATAAGATGACAAACGACAGGCCTCTATGAGGACACAGCACATTTTCGTTGACTTATATAAAATAAAACTTTTTTTTATTGTATCAACTAATGATTATATCACCAGCATTAAGTATTATTAATTCATAAATTTAACATTCAATAATCTCATTTACTGTTTTTTTATTTTGATTATTGATAGAAGTAATTTTTTTTTTTTTAAATATTTGTAGACGAGATCAGCTTGGAGCTCCAGTGATGTCGAAACTCCTAGTAAAGGTAAATTATTGAAGTTTCAATTTATAAGCTCAAAAAAATTATATATTATCTTCTATTATAATTTAAACTTTCTATTGTAGTAGATATAATGTGTGCCAGGCCGACAACAGCCGGTGAAGAAGAACTCCAATTGCAATTAGCTCTTGCGATGTCGAGAGAAGAGGCAGAACAAGAAGAACAAAAAAGAAGAAGTGACGATGTCCGTCTCCAGTTAGCCATTTCTCAGAGTCAGAATGAATTCAAGTATGATTTTTTTTTAATATATATTTTTAAAAAAAGATTTTTTATCGTTGTCGCTCTAAAATTGAAATTTTCAAATTCAAATCGATGTTGAACTTTATTGATAATAGTTTATGATATCCATTACTAAATCAAAAATTAAACAGTAGAAATAGAATAGAAAATAACCTTTAATGTCTGACAAGGTCCCTTAAGAATATCAATTATGAACAAAAAAAAAAAAAAACACATTGGCTAAAAATGACATTAATCAAAAATAAAATAAAGAATAAAATATTCAAAAAAATATTATCAAAATAAAATTATAATCAAATTTAGAAAAAAATTATAATCAAAAAAAAAGTAAAATATATTTCAAATTTTCAAGTCGTTGCCCTCTTAATACTTCTTTAAGTCATCTGTCCAAACAGATAGAAACCGTAGGGTGATCAAGTAGAATTTAGTGCATTTCCTAAAGTTGAAAGACTGGGTCTTGGCATTTTTGTGGAGTATAACCTCTTGAAATGGTTGATCTCGTGCATTGCGTGTTGCCCAGGTAACCTGATAACCGAAGTTATAAATGAAAAATTAATTACGAGTTCGCGTCCCGATGCCGGAAGGTCTTTTAACTCCGGCATTAGTCTCCCGCCCTCACCCCCTGGTCCGAGAAAACTCCGTATGGCCTTAAAGGTGAGAAACGGGAGAAAAAAAAAAAAGCTCATAGTAATAAATAGCATTGTTATGCTTCATTTATGCTAAAAATTAAAAAAGGTTGAAAAAACCTTGCCAGTTGAGTCAAGTCTTGGCTTTCTCTAGTGCCGCCTCCCATTTCTTTTGCCACTTCTTATTGGCTAAATTTCTGTAGCTTAAATTATCTGTTGCACTTTAGGGTGCTCATGAGTGTTACTGACGAATACGGACACCTGTTGCTCCGAGATCATGAGTGTTACTGATGAAGCGGTTGAAAGTATAGAACGGCCAGCTCTACCCACTTCTAATGGCTCCATTCAAGTGTATTAGAAACACGGGTTCTACCAACTGTAAATGATTAGAAACAAAAATCCTGTTCATATTCGATTCACCCTCAATTGAGAATTCTCATTCAGATGTACTAGCATAGTTTATAGATTTATTTATATGTTAATTATATCATATTAATGATTTTAGGCAGCACCAGCAAGAACCAGGCCATAAAGACCCAGGCGGCAGCCACATGCTAGATCTTCTGGACGTAAACCTCGGACCCATCGACAGTGGGCCTATCCCTACCACGTCCGCCCCTGTTCCACTTCAGGACCCGTGGGGAATGCCTATCCCTCCATCCCGACCTCAGGTAATTATTATTATTTTTATAATATTTTAAATTAAAAAAAAACAATCATTTAAAGTTTATAAAATTTCAGAATTACACAAATATCCCTCCTATCAAGACTTGATGTACTTGTCTTGAATTTGTCGAAAAAGGTTTTTTAAATTTATTTTTGCCAAACTTATGATTTTTTTTTTCTAATTTCTCTTACTTAAGGTACTGTTTCGCTGAAACTGTTCTCTGTAGCTGCCAACTACTCTCATCTTAAGCATCCTTTTTTAAATGAAATCATTAGTCTTAAATTTAATCATTTTTGTTTGTATTCGAAGAACAGCAATGTATATATATATATATATATATATATATATATATATATATATATATGATGGCGGAATTTTGATCTTATTTAATAAATACACACTATTTTTCTTGTATAATTAGTTGACTAAAAAGGGTAGGTTGTCTGTTAACCATTATCTATTATTGTCTACCTTCTACTAAGTAATAGTTTCTTGTAATATTTTGAATAGGAAATATCAGCCTCATGATAACAAAATTTAGATGTGGTATTATTTTTAGAATTGATGGTGTATCTCTGATTTTAAATTTATTACTTATTATTAGCACAATCATTTCAGTAATAAATATCATATATTTGTAATAAAATTATTACAGCTAATGTTTTTAACATTAGTTAATCAGCATTTTAATTAAGAAAGGCAAATTTATTTTTCAATGTTATGATTTGGGTATTTACTCAAAATTAAATTTTTTTCTATTATTTAATATATTCAATGTTTGAATAGTCTTGTTACTTTAAACCTAATAGTCCGTGGTACAGATCCCCTTTTATTTAATTACTAACATCTGGCTGAAACTTTGTAAATAGCTTTTTCTCATCGTAACATACTATTATTTTATTTATGAAAAATCTCAGAATTGGGGCGTTTTCAATCTAGAAGTCGGCAAAGTTTGTCTATTTAATTAGGTACTAAAAACTCAAAAATATCCATTTGCTTTCCACTTGGATCATAAGATAATTTAATCACAAAGTCAAAAAAAAAAAAAGAAAAGGTGGCCTTCAAAAATATTGAGCCGTTTAGCCTATGTACCTCGTTATTTTGACAATCTGGGGCTGTAGGTCAAGCGAAATGGCTCAATATTATAGTAAGCAGTACCAACGAAATAGTACCTTTATGGAGAAATATTTTTCAAATATTTAAGCCAGTTATTAGATAAAATTTAAATCACCAAAAATATTGCAATTATTGACAACTACTGAAATTAAACCTACAAATTTATATTTAATTTTTTTTTTCCTGTAAATGCGAAATAGAAAGAATTAATAATTATAGTGGTTGTTTATTATTGAAATTCTGTTCATTTATGTTTTGAATTTTTATTTAGACTCTGGATCTCAGATTGAATAATTGGAATTCGGTAAGATGTGTTTACAATGTTACGTAATTACTGAGTTTTAACTTAACATAAAGATGTTTTCATGTTGAAGCTAGCTTAATTCCTTTTGCTGTTGTATAAGAGATATAGTTTATTAGTTATCTTCTTAAAGTTTAATTTATTTATTTAGTTGTTAAAATATCTCAGCTTCTTGCTTATTTTGATATATATCTGAATATATGATTGATTTCTTAGCTTATGAATAATTTTGCTTTGATGTTTAAGTAAGTAACCATTTGTAATTAAACCTTTTTTGGATTTCACGTGTTCCTAGTGCTGTAACTAACATGAGCTTAAATATTACCAAAAAGTTGTTTGAAAAGTTATTAAAATTATCAATAACACTATTTGGTTCTAGATGTTTTGAGATTAGTATTTCCTTTTAAACCTAAATTGATTTTCAGATTGAAAAAAACAAAACACTTTTTTATAATTGTAAATTGAATACTTAATAGTTGACCATTGAATTATTAAGAAAGGAGATGATCAAGCGGTCATAAATAGACTAAATAGTGGCAAAATTATTTTATTGAAAGCCAATGTTTCGACCCGAATTTGCAGGTCTTCTTCAGGGCTAGAATGGTCAAGATACAAAAAGATGTAGGGAATTGTGGAAGTTGCATCATATTTAGATAACAAATTATAACCAATGTGAATAATCTTATTAAAATTATAAACAGTAATTATTTTAAAATATTAAGAACAATAAGTTGTGTAAACAGAGTAAGCTAAGTAACAAAATCCTTAACTGAAGTAAATAGATGGTAACAATTGTTGTAGTATAATAAAACACAATACATGCAATTGTAAATATACTCCTACAGATCTACCGGAGAGATTGGAAGAAAAGGAAAAGGGATATAATATGAAATAATGGACATAAAGGGATGTGGAGAAAGAAAAGAAAAGAGAAGAAGAAAAACAAAAAATAAGTAAATAAAATTAGTAGAATAAAAATAAAGACATTTCCTTGCTGAACACACCTGTAAGAGTTGGTTATCATTTTTTATCTAATTATGATGTAACCTTAACAATTCTCTATATCTTTTTGTATCTTGTCCGTTCTAGCCCTGAAAAAGACCTGCAAAGTCGGGTCGAAACGTTGGCTTTAAATAAAATAGTTTTGCCACTATTTAGCATATTTATGACCGTCACCCTGGACCATCTCCTTCCTTTATAATTGTAAATGTATGAATAGTTTTTCAAAGAAAAAAAAAACTACCTCTGGTTGTGTAAGTATAACTAACCAATGTCAGTATTTATCACTTCTGGTTAGTAGCAATTTAAAAATTAGCAACAATTCTGAAAGTAATCTAATAAAGTATATCACTTCATTTTAACCGGTTGTATAAGCAATGTCATCCTTAATCGAAAGTCAAGATTGGTTGTCTTTTTTTTTTTCTTTTTTTTTTTTGTTCTGCCATTAGATTGCACCGCAGCTTCAAAAAGGTGTATTGTGCATCGTCCTAAACTGAATTAAAACAGGTCAGATGCCTTTGCGAACCTGTTGATACTAATACGATCAATCAGTTCGCAGTGCTTAGGGTCAGTGATACGATCGCATCCAAAGTGAAAGTATCGCAGTTCAGCCAAGTTATCACATCTACAAATACAGTGATTAGCCATTTCATCCTCCAGGCCACACAGCCTATAGGTGGAGTTTTCACTTATACCAAAATTAAAAAGATGCTTATTTAATTGACAGTGACCAGTGTACAATCCTGTCACACGCCTAATGGTACTCCTGTCCATTAGAAGAATTGAATTACTTCTCTTGTGACAGGGCCCTGCTAGGAATAACTTAGAATGAGTTTGTTTCCTAGTCTGTTCCCAATGTAGAATAAAGTTATTGCCCACAATTGCCTTAATATGCCTTTTGGCAAAGCTAAGGCTTATCCCACAAATAGGCTCTGCTGCAATCAGTATCTGTACTGCAAAGCCTTTCCTAGCAAGGCAATCGGCTTTCTCATTTCCTGGAATGCCTGAGTGCTCAGGTTCCTCAGGTTCTACCCTCACTCTGTTAATACTACAAAGAAGGTTAAGTGTTGGGGCCAGGAGTACTTCAAATTCGAAGTACAGATCTTTCCCCTGTGCGTTTCCTCAATGGTGGGGAAAATTCGAGCAAAATTAAAATGTGGGAAAGTGGAAAGATAAAGGAAGTGAAAATGAGACCTGTAAAACATAAAAAATGTGCATGCACAAGAAAATATTAAAAAAAATATTCAATTAATTAAAAACGTTAAGATAAACAAAAAAAAAAAAAAAACCTTCTAAATGCTTACAAATTTATTGAGATAAAAAATATATACAATTGTTAAAAAACAAATAAAGAGTGGCATGAATTTCACTGAAATGAATGAAACACAAAATATAATACTCAGTGAACATAAACCCAAATTAACAATTATTAATAAAGCAAAAATAAATCAATTTCTGAAATTAAAAATAAAACGAGAGAGAAAAATGATGGTCCAAAAGAATAAACTAATTTAGCGAAGAAAACAGTTAATTAATATTTAAATGTCTTGGTGAGAATAGAAAACGCAAGCCAAGTTGGAGGTTCTGCTTCCAACCTGTTACCTTCCCATATCTAGCTGTCGAGTAATCGATGGTGGGGTGGTATCGATCTTGATCGATTACTCAGCTGCGTCCAACAGCTGATCTCAAAAAAATGGTGCTAGTCTGGTGGGTCGAGGTGGTGAACCTGGAGCAGAAGGTGGGGGTAGCCGTCCACTGCATGGATCCAGTGTTATCAAAGGCCAGCTCCAGACTGGAGACCTGGCAGTATTATGATGTCTTAATCCCTAAGACAGGGTATTACTGCCGGGCTGGTGTGTGTATACAACGCGATAACACATCGCAAATAATACCCAAATATACAAATATTACACAGCAAAATACATTTTTGAGACAATTGCCCTCAGTTTTTTACCATAAAATAAAAATGAACTATTTATTATTAACAAACCGTAACAAACCGTAAAGAATAACAAACCGTGGTTTGATGAAGATTGCTTAAACATGTGTGAAAAAAGAAAAGCGCTAATGTATAAAGATCTAAATAATCTAGGATGACAATTGGAATATTCCGAAGCTAAAGAACGAACGACAAATTGCTCAAAAATAAAAAAGGGAGTATCTTAAAAATAAAATAATTGAAATAGAAACTAATAGAATCGTAAATAACGTGAGTGAAGAGAAATGTACAAGTATTATCAGTTCAGTAAAATGTAGGGCCCGTAACGTCTGGGAATTAGGGGATGATAATAACAATTTCATGACGATCGGTTGACCATATTGAATAAGTTTAACGGACCACTTTGACCATATTTTAATTACGGGAATTATGATTGTGATCCTCTTCGGAGTACCAGAGTGCTGAACCATTATATAAGGACAAGTATAAGAGGAAGTTGAAGTAGTAGCTATCGGAAAATTAAAAATCATATAATGCCGCGGGAATCGATTAATATTCCTACTGAAGTTTTAAGGCATGGCGGGGAAGCTGGGAGTTCTAAAATACATCGGTTGGTTAAAAAGTCTGGGTGAATGAGAAATTCACTGAAGAATGAAAGAATCTTTCGTATTAGATCACAAAAAGGGCGCGAGGAGGATTGTAAATAACCTATCATGAGGAATTTCACTCCTTCGCTATGTTATAAAATATTCACTTCAATTTAACCAGTCGAATTCACGGAATACGGCCGAGGAAATTAATCGGAGCTTACCTATGCGGAGTTAGACGGAATCGTTCGGACTATTGATCAATTATTTTCTTTACGGCAAATATAAGAAGAAAAAATTGGAGTGTTAACGGTATTGTTCACCAGCTGTATATGATTTTAAAAAGGCTTACGATGCTTTGACGCCAGAAACTGTATTATATTATCTAATCGAGCAGGGGATCCCATAAAAAACTAGTAAATCTAGTCAGGATGTGATTGCGGAGACTCTCAATAAAGTTAGAATCGGTTTTATAATTTGTCCGAATATTTTGAGGTTCGTTCGCGGCTTAAAAAGGGGGAATACTCTTTCGCCTTGTCTGTTCAATTTGGCATTAGAGGCTGCCATTAGGGAGGTAATGCGAACGAATGGAAAGGGTTGGATCTGGGCGGACAAAATCGTGCTGGGCTATGCTAGATGAATCTGGTACTGGTTAGCGAAGAGTTTGAAACTATAAAACTAAATCCGACAGTTAATGAAAGCGGTAAAGAATAGGATCGAAATAACGTGGATAAAACAAATTATGGTAGCTGCAAAAATTGGCGATACTTCGGGTGATATCGATATAGATGGTAATATCGTTTGAACAGGTAGACTAAATTTAGGTATCTAGGTTCTACGATACTAGAAAAAACGAAATGAAGAAGAGATTAAGTCAAAGACTGAAGGTGGGTTTGATTGTTATTTTCTGTGACATAACTACTCAGTTCGACGCCTCTTGTCCGAAACTTTAAAAATTAGAATCTATAAACATTATCTTGCCTACGTTCTTTGGATGCGAAACTTGGGCAGCTTACATTAAGGGATGAGCAGCGTCTTAAGGTTTATGAAATTAAGTATTGCGTTTAGGATAGAATATTCGGACCGAGAAGGATGAGTTAACGGAGCGTTCGACGGTTACACAACGCGAATTGCGTGAGATGTATCCGGGATAATATAATTTGAGGTAATTTAATGCGGGAATCAATGGGCTTGTAAACTTGTTGGGCTTAGTAACGAGGTAGAATTTCCTAAAAGGTTAATATTTGCTGTGCCGAATGGTAAGCGTCCGAGGGGAAATGAGACGATCGAAGTGGGAAGATTGCATATTAAAGCGATTGAAGAGACTGGGTTTGGACGGCCGACGGTGGAGGGAGGTGTGTAACAAGCGATTGGTGGTGTCGGCATCGAACCTTCGGGTTCGCTAAGCCTTATTATTATTATTTATTTATTATTAACACTTAAAAGGGGTGAGTGGTGAGAAAAAATAACATTAATTTTTTTTTTAGGTTGATCCCTGGAGTGTTTCGTCTTCGACAGCAACTAATCCTTCCGTTGCTGATCCTTGGTCACCCGCCCCCGCTGCTTCTGCGCCTCCTAAGCCAAGTAAGTTCATTATTCATTAATTATCTATAATGAAAAAGTTGTCTTAATTAAACAATTATTAATACGTTTATTATTTATTTCTTTGTTGATTATAGTGATAGAAGACCTGTTGGGTTTAAACTTATACAGCACAAATATTTTTTCGAATCACATAACGAATACAGGTAGTTAAGAAACAGTGAGTTAAAATAAAGTTTTAAATAATTCTTGTTGTCAGGGGGTGTGTTTTAACTGCTGAATTATTGTCCTCATACTAACACTGATTTTTTTTTATTATATGCTTTTCTTGTTTAGTCTAATATTACATTGTTGTTGTTTTGTTTTTTTTTATGTGTGTGATATTAACATTATAATATTTTAAGGCATTAGACTACTATTTAAATATCAAAAGTTATTAGAGAAGCAATATGCTAATATTTTGGGTATCAGTAAGTCTTCTTATACCTCTCAGTGGTGATCTGCAAGATTTCTGTAATAACAGTTGCTTTGTAGCTGTAAGTGATGGTCTCAAACTATGAAGTGTTACCCTTGTTTATATTCTGTTTTTGTCAACTGAATTATTGAACTAAACTTTGTAAATATTAAAAAAAACCAAGGTGTGTGCTTTACCTCACGATATTATTGAAAACTTCAACAAGGCGAGATTAATAATATGAAATATACATTTTAAATAATAGCTCATTATAAAGAGGATGAAGTGCTGGACATTTCTCTTGCTTACAGTATGCAGGTCCGACTTTAGTTTTTGAGATATTTTAATCCATATCTTAATAAAATTCGTGATCATTTAGTTTTCGACATTATTTTTGTTTCTTGTTTATTCCTCTAACATGGCGTAACGTTAAGATATATTTTTGAATAATAGTTCATTACAAAGAGGATGAAATGATGAATGTTTCCCTCGCTTTTAATATGCAGGTCCGATTTTTAGTTTTTGAGATATTTTAATCCATATGTAAAACACGCGCCTGAAGAAGTTTTCACTTCAAAAATTAATTAAAATTGAAAAAAAAATCATTTAAGAGGGGACTAGTTTTTAATATTCTTTTTTAATTTTTATTTTTTATAAAAGGTTTGAAAACATTCAAATGTAGGTTTATTTTTAACCTTGCTCTTTAGACTTAATAATTTTCTTTAATAAATGGGTTGGCATTTTTTTGTTTTTCTGTTTACTCTCTATCTTGCCATTTCTCTTACCCTACCTCTAGGGAGTTGTTTCAAATGTACATCCAAACCTATTATTACCAGTATTGGAAGATTAAAATTCATTCTGTGGGTCCGCCACAAAATAAATTTCGATCCACCTTGGCTGGATTTGAATCAGCGTCTCTAGGCACGAGAATGCTAAAGTTTATGCTTTAACATGCCCTGGCATAACGATCTCAGTTGTGGGGTAGCAGAAACCGTCTAACACATCGTCGTTCTAATATACTGCCCCATCTATTTGACACTGAGGAGCAGATTACTGAGGGAGACAGGGCTCTACGTTCTGATGGAGAATGAGTTGTTCTCTCAGCTAAGTATTAAACTGAACTACCTGAACTCTAAGAACTTTATGTGAGGGTGAAAAGAAGTTGTTGGTATCAGATAAGAATGAAAACCGAAGAAAGGATAAGAACAGACTGTGTGCAGACACAACAGGTTCACTTGCACCAGTATTGTCATGCACGCATGTGTATTCTATCATCTTATTGCTGCAAACCCCCATATCGTCTTAAAGCTTGATAGGTTGGAAAATAAAATATACATAAATGTATATCCGATGAGATTCCGAAGAAGTTAAAGACTGAGAAGCTCCATTGAATCGGGAAGGTTGTAAGATCCTAAGTAAGAGGGCTTGAAGGAACAGTTGGTGATGTAAGAACCCTAGTGAACTGAACACTGAAATTGAACAAACGTAACTAGAGACATAGCCATCTGGCAGATGCTGAGTGAGCCGATGAACTATTTGTGTATGATTATTTTCAAATTCATTAGAAATACTCTAATGTTTGTCATATATATTTAAAATCCAGTAAGTATTTGTACAACAGTATAAATTTGTATTCACTTCATAAGTTTTATATTCACAACTTGTTATGATTTACATTATATTTTCTAATTCACGATTTTTTTTTGTTTTCAGACGAGGCTGCCTCCGTTGACCCGTGGAAAGCAGTGAAACCCCAAAACGACCCGTGGTCGCCTGCAACAGAACCCAGTCCTGCATTGTCGTCACCATTAAATGACCTCGACGAGTTTGATATTATAACTAATAGAAATAACATCAACAATAATAATAAAACTTGTAAGTTGAAACATTCATTTTTTTTTTTATCAGTTTTAAATTTTATTAAATCGGGATTTCAAGGGATACACATTTTACCCGGTTTTAGACTGAGTTGAAGTGGCTTTATCCGTCCTACCGCTGTCAGTATTCCTTGCTACCTTTCTTATACCCATATTCTACAGATCCCACAATTCAAATGCTCCTTTCAATCCCGTCCCACCAGATCCCATATGTCCGATCTCTATCCCCCTCCTCACTGATCTGCTACGTTTGACAAATCCTTTTTAATTCAAGCTGTCTCCCTCTGGAACTCTATCTCCTCAGATATTCAACATGCAAAGTCAGTATCCTCTTTCAAATCTCTCCTCTTTCAAATCCCTCCTCTTCAAACACCTACTCCATTCCCAATCTGGTTGATCACGAAGTGCACTTATAAATCTAAGTTGTAAGAATCTCAAAGTAGCCCCAGATTTTATATCTAACTACTCCATTCTCAATGTCTTAATTTTACTATTTATTTTCATTTCTTATATAACTTCATATTTCTTTTTTATGTTTTACATTTTATTCTAAGATTCCCATTTTAACACTTATGTCACCGTTTTTGATTATGCTTACTTCATCATTCCACACTTTGTAACGGTTATTATTATTTATCTCTTAGTTCTTACTATTGTCATTATTCTAACAATTTCATTTTACTTTATTATTTTTTTATTTTTTTTTTTTTTTCTTTATTTTTTATTTTTTTACCATCACTACTTATGTTTCTCATACCTTGTTATCTGGTTATTTTCTTCTGGTTATTTCCCTGATGAAGGCCTGAACTTCAGGTCGAAACGTCGGCATATGTAAAAATAAATATTATTTATTTTAGCCTTCTTTTTTGACTGACCACCCCAACTATTCTTCTCTTCATTATCCACGACAGTCAACCATTTACCAATTATAGCCCCAGATACTTTGATTATTTTGTGATTTATTGAGATTTTGTTTACTTATTTTACTTTCTTTGTTTATTTTATATTTATGCACATTTTTGTAATCTGTACTTTTATTTTCTTACTAATCATCCGGTAAATATTTAATTGTATTTTATGGATACAACGGAACATTAATATATATTCTGTACCTATAACTTGTTCTGAAGAGGCACTAGTCCCAGAGTAATAAAATTATTTTCATTCATTTCGTTCATATTTTGGCATGTCCAAGATAATGAGGAGTAGGCTGACCTGTAATACCACCAAGTTCAGGATGTACAAACCACTAATAAGACCGGTAACTAAGCCAGAAAAACTTGGATTATGAATAAACGGACCAGTGAACTATTTGAGAGAAGGATACTAAGGAACATCCTGGAACCAATTTGTGAAGATGGAGTTTGGCGATGTAGAAAACATAGGGATCTGTATAATAAATAAAAGGAACGGAATATCTCAGGATCCAGAGATTGAAGTGGTTTGATGGTCTAATGAAAATGGACGAAAACAGGATGCCAAAAAGATTTTATGACGGAACACCAGATGGAAAGAGAAGTAGAGGGTGACCCAAGGGCCGCTGGAGAAATAGTGTACTCCAAGCCATACTGAGATTGAAAAAGCCAAGGGTTGCTATATATGCCTGTTAAACTAAGAAAAGAAGAAGATGAAGATGAGGTGCTGACTAAAAACACCTTTGAGGAATAATATATGAATAAATATCGAGTAAGGAGATGGTCCGAGGAGGCAGTCATAAAAAAACTAAAATAGTGAAAAAACTATTTTTATTTCTAGCCAATGTTTTGACCCAACTTTACAGGTCTTCTTTAGGGATGTGTATGCAGCAAGAAGTTTAAGAATAAATGAAAAAAGAATTCTTATTTTCATCTTTTCAAACCTATGATTCTTCAAAAAAATATATGAGAAGCAGATTACCTAGAACTTATCGAGGATTCTTGAATACGACCATGTCCATAGGAAGTTGAGTACGTTAAAAACGAAACTGTCATAGTTTTCTATGTATTTATACTTTATTCTAAAGTGGCAGCAATCCCATGATAATAAAAATATTTCCATTTCATTTCATTTTTCAACCCATAAATTATGTTTGTGCAAATTTACGTAAAAAAATTCAGAATATCGTGCATTTTTATTGTTGTGACCTAATTTTTACCGATTAATAAGAATTTCAAATTCTTACAAATACGCAATTTAGTTGACTTATGGCAGTTTTTACTTTTATTCTTTTCAGGCATTAGCCCTAATCCTTTTGACATGAGAGGCCTTGGAGAAAGCTTGAACGATAGGAATGGGTTAGGATCTGCTAAAAGAAAAAGTCCTCATGCGTTCTTAGGTGAGAATTCTGGATTAGTAAATCTCGACAATCTTGTTACTAAACCGACCCAGTCTCAACAAAGTCAACAGCAACCATTACGACCAGGTATAGATTTTTTATATAGAAATTTATGTATTTAAAATACATATATAGAAATTTAGTTTAATTTTATATTTATATAAGTTACCTGCTTATTTGATTTGAGGAGTTATATTTACAGGGTGTCCAGTGACCGGGAATTGTACGGTAATTTCTCAACCCACGAATAGTAAAGGAATTTTTAAAAAAAAAGAAGGGGTGGCGGAGCAGGCTAACGTTTTGCAAAACCCCTATTACCGGTCAACATGATAAGCAAAACTTTACAAGATTTAATAATTATGAGTTCACGTCCTGGTGTGTTAATTTTTGGGGCTTCAAACTCAGACATTAATCTCCTACCCTTCCAAAGGGAGAAATAAAAAAATGAAAAAATCTCAATTTAAATACAAAACCTATTTGATATAAAGGGACTCCCTTTAAAAAAAGTAAGAAGAAATTTATATATTAGACATTTTTAGAACTCCCATATATATTTGCTGATCATACTCACATGTCCTCGAATATCATACTCGAATGTACTTTTCATAAAATAAAATAAAAAGCATAACATGAGTTTAGGTTGCAATAAGAGCTTACATTACACTATAGGCAGCTGTACGCTTTGTTTGTGACATTTGGTTTAAAAACTGATTACATCCATTTTCAAAATTGCTTCAGAACTGATCAAAAAAGGTTGGAACCACTTTAGATTGGAAATAGAATTTTTTGGTATTGGTTTTTGGGAGATCTAAACGGTTTTGATACAAATACTTCTAATTTTATAAAAATAAACATTAAAAACATATATATTTTTTTAATAAATTGATCTAACCTATTTTGAAAGCAAATGCCTCATCTGAAACAGAGGTATTTACGGAGGAAAAATCTGGAAAAATATGAAAAAAAACAAGAAATGTACGGGAGTTTTTTGGAGGAGAATGGCTGGACACCCTGATTTAGTGAATTATTCTTCATTTAAACACTATATTCAATAACTTTAACTGCCTGGAACACATCATTCAGACCGAACGAAATACATAAAATTGTAACAATATCTCAGTACATTACATTTTTTTTCTTAACAGAAAGTAAAATTCACTTATTCTATTATTATTCTTACCCATAAAAAAATATGAAATTTTCCTGATGCATACATAACAGATAAACAAAAAAAAATTCAAAATCTGCAATTTTCGTTTTAGTGAAAAACTAGCATTATCGAGTGTATCTTTGATGGTGACGAAGGCTATGACTTTGGTATAAATGCCATTGTTATAACTTTAAATTGTTTTGGGGACCAAAAATCAATGGACTTTTTTCAATTTATCTAGTACTTTTCAAGGGACTGAGAAAAACTTAATTTCTGATCGATTCCAATTTTCAAACTTCTTCTGTAACTATTTAAAATTCATTTTCATTTTTATTCGATCACAGTTTAGTTAATAGCCAAAAGGCAAACTAATGTGGCACTATGTTGGAACTCATATTTTTTTTTAAGTTTCTGATATTAATTACAAAATATTCACATATGTATGCGTATATTGAAAGATGATATAATTATCTTTTCTTTCTCTTTCAAAGGTATTGAAATCCTAAAAAAATTTCTAGAAATCTCAAATTTAGGACATTCAATGCTATGATAAAGCCTGTTCTGATATATGGACGTGAGATCTGCATATAAAACAACACCCTATGAAGAAGTATTAAAAGATTTGAGAGGAAAATTCTCCACACGATAACCGAAGTGATCTGAGATCAAATTACTAACAAATGGAGAATGACCAATAAAGAGCTGCATATAGTATCTGGTCAATCAATATATCATGATATAAGGGCAAGAAGTTAAAGGTGGATAGGATATTAAAATAATTGAATGGCTCAGTGGCACTTGTAGCAATAGCCTTAGATAAGCAAGGATGGGGTAGGATAGTTACACAAATTATATCGTAATCTTCTAATTTATGAATATATTAGTAAATATTTGGTAAGTAATGTCAGAGAGTTAGGGAATAAATGGTTTGTATCAATTTAGTGCCACTTGAGTTTGCTATCGGCTTGCCATCTAATAGGATGTATTTAAAAAAATTACTGTTTTTCAACAAAAAAATGAAATATTTTTCTTTAATGTAAAAAAAAAAAATATTGAAAATGTAACTCATTGTGGTGCACTGCCATTTCCCATCTTTCGGTCAGTTGCTTAATTCCATGCAGGTACCACTCTTGTATGGAAAAATTTCAACTTTGTGAAATTGGGGCTTGAATCAAAATAAATAAAAATCTGATGGAGCAAGATCCGGGAACTGTGTGGTGAATAGAAGAAGTTCGGTACCATCGAGATTTTTACATTTTTCATTAGTCTGTTGGGAAGTAAGCGGCCGAGTATTGTCTTGCTGAAATAGAACACATTTGCAGTTGACCAAAGCTGGATAGAATACATTATATCTAACTGTATAAAAAAGAGGTCAGAGTTTATTGTCCATCTAGGATTACTCCTTTTGTGAGTCCAAAAAATGCAAAGCATTGATTTTTTTTTCAAACTATCCTCTTGCAGTAACCTGACAAACAGTTTGATCTCTCCATCACAAGTGACTTTTTCTTGAAAAAGTTGAAAATCAGAAGGATTTTTTAAACAGATTTTTGAAAATATCAACTCTCTAAACGGCTTGTTGGAGTGTAAGGTCGTACAGCACTAGCCTACAGCGGACCCTACACGGTAATTCATGAATGAACGTCACAAGAATGGTAAAGATTGCTCGGGATCGCTTTGATCATGAAGACCTCTACACTTTCAATCATTATTTATCATTACTTATCATTGCTGAAGCCAATTTAGCTCCGTTGTAAACAAAGAAATAGCATAGGTATGCTTATTTGGACATTGTCATTTATAATATTGGGCATCAAGAGAAAAATGGAGATATAATAATTACTTTCTAGTGCCTGAAAATAGTTTAGACCAAAGTTAACTACATACAAAAATCTAGGAAAAGTATTGCGAAAATTATCAATTTGTTAAGAAAAATGGAAAAATTGATGACAAAGAAACACAACAGTTAAAGATTTTTTTTCTATAAGTAAATTGTGAAGTTTCCACTTTTTTTTTTTTTCAATTTATTGCCTACTTGACTATTCAAAGAAAAAATAGTTGAAAATGGTTAGTAAAAATATAAACTAGGGATATAAACAACTATTTACTTTTATGAAATTATTTGCTTAAAAATGAGACCTAGGTAAACTAACCTATCTAGTAGTAAGGTTAGTCTCATAGAACATCATTTTGACAAAAGTTAGTAAAATATAAGTCTACTACTTACAAAAATTAAAGAAAGGTATTGCGAAAATAATCAATTTGTTGAGGAAAATGGGAAAATAATTAACAAATATACACAACGTTAATTTTTTTTTTTTTTTCTTAAAGTAAATTGTGAAGTTTTCACTTTTTTTTTTAATTTGTTGCCCACTTGACTATTTACTTATAATGAAAATCAGAAATTTATAATGGTTGTGAGGCCTAGGTAACCTAACCTATCCAGTAGTATGGTTAGTCTCCCCACTACTTTTACCTCAGTCTCCCCTCCACTTCTCGTGAATGAACCTTTGATTTCCGGATGTTCGGAAATCCGCCACACACCACCATCATCAATACTTCATTCACTACCTTACACTACAATTTGGAATGGCATTAGTGCCTCGGAATGCAATTCCAAATGACCGTGTATGGTCCGCTTACTGCTTCTTTTTACCTTACTCATTACGTGTAGATGGCGACACACAGTACATATATAATAATATAAGCTTTATTATACATTCTTAATATTATATAAAGTCTCTCCATAAGAAGGTGAGAGTCTTATTTTTAACAAAAAAAAAAAAATTTATATGTAAATTACCCATTTCTTCGTTTTAAATTTAATTGGTATTCATTATGTTACTCCAAACTTCCCTATTTCTTGCCACAGTTGCCCAACCATCACCTACTCTGCAATATTTTTTCTCTCCATCTTGTGACAGGTCTTCCTCTTCTTCTCTTGTTATTCCTAGGAATCCATTCAGTGAAAATTTTCGATTACCTGGAGTCCAATCTGGCAATGTATACATGACCGCAGTACATATATACATACAACCTAATAATTGTGATTAAATTATAGTTTCTGTTCTTATTAATTAATTATTATTAATTTTAAATAATAATTAATAGTATAATGATATAGGGTATATTAGATTGATAAGTAAATGAAATGCTTAGAATATTTAATCAAGAAGGCTATTATTGCAATATATAGTAATATTAATTAATTTTTATGTTGCCAGTTGCTGCTAACCCCTTCTCACCGGTGGGTGCTCCGTTGCAGCCAGTCCGGAACACTCCTGCTTTCGCACCTCAGGCAATATCTCAACCTCTTGTACCTCAACCTAATCCTTTCTTGTCATAGGGGTGTTTCTGATTGCGTCGAACCCAAAAATTGTCAACTGTCTAAAATTCTTTACAATCAGCAAACTGTCCTCTTTTTTCAACTTAATACTATAGGCTATTTTCCACATGAGTGAAAGCAATAAAAAAAAGCTAAAAAAAAAAAAGCAAAGTCTGGAAAACGAACTGTTTTCTTTGATTACTCGCAACACGTATTATCAATCTCTGTGCCTCGTAATTTAAATGTTTAAATGTTAAATACCTAATGTTTGTGGCCCGTTTATAATTTGAGTTGTATTAATTAGCTCTTTTAGGATGGTGCAGTATTATTTTTACAAATTTTTATTTATTCATGGTTTACATGTTAGGTTTATTGTTATTGTTTTTTTTTTTTTTTTAAATTAAACCAAAGGTCGAGAGCTACGGTTTATGTTACGACTAATTTATCTTTCCCAATGGAATATATGCTCACGAATTCTGAATTTCTTACGGTTTTTTTAAGAGTATTTTATTTTGAATTATACGTGGATAACATATTCAAAACACCAAATTATATATACATATACATATATATTTATACTTAGATATATTTTCGTCCACTTGAGCTTATATATTTATATAGATAGGTATAGAAAAAAAAATTATGTACATAGCCTTTTGCAGCTTATGGCTGAATAATAAATCTCAAACTGTGAGTTAGGAAGATTCATTTCTTACTATTTTCATTCGAAGAATGTTCAGTTTCTACTTGATGAAACTGATATTTCTCATGAGCCTCAATAGTGATTTTGTATAATCGTCATGAAGTGTTAACAATTTTTTTTATTATTAATTTAAATGTAAAATGTGCGAAACTATAATATTTGCATAGGCAATAAAAATGTGAGCATATCAAACGATAGCATTTTAAATCCGAGGTGTGAAGTATGCCATTATGCAATATTTTTTATTTGATGTTATTATTTTTATTCGTAAAGGTATTAAACTTTATCTTCAGCAAAATCAATTTGAATAACTTATGCCGGCTTAATGCAATATTGGCGCTAGTTATCTGATGCTACCTGTGTATTAATGGTCACTGAAGCTTAGTGTAAGCTTCCTTTTATTATTACGATATTAGTTATATATGTACACAATAGAAAGATACCTATGAATTGTTGATTTTTGTCCATAGAGTACAGAATAATATAGAGTGACCATCCTGGTACTAGAAGAATGGGGGGAGGGGGGTAAACTTTAACCTCTCTCTATCTCTCACTCTCTCTCTCTTTCTCTCTCTCCCAACTACCATTATCTATAACCAGCCTTTGCCCTCTATAAGAACCAGTATTATTTTTTCAGAATTATCTATTAATTTTTATTTTAAATGTAAAATCATTGAGCTAATGCAAATTTATCAACTGATTTCAAGAAGTTAAAGTAGATTTTGTCTATTATAATTAAAAAGCCATGATCTAAACTAAATGAATAGTTACAAGTTATACCTGATATGCTTTTTTGGATTGAATAAAATTTTTATTATAATATTATTATTCATACAGTACATACTATTTTCTTTTTTTTTTAATTGGATAAGACAAGACAGTTATCAGTTTAGAAAAATTATTTTATTCTGAAAAATTAATTTTTCTTTTCTTCCATCAAGCTATCACAATTTTTTTTTTTTTTTAATTTAAAACTAATTATTAACAACTATTACAATATATTTATACATGTATAAACTTTTGTGCAGGTACATTAATTGGAAATCAAATTAATCACAAAACAAAATGATAGCGGTTTCAAATGACCAGACTTTCTTTGTTTGAAAAATATATATATTTTTTAGTCTGTTTTCAATTAATAAAAGTTAACAATAAATTTCTGTTTTTCTTTGATATGTATTGTATATCATTTTAAAGAAAGTTCAATTTATTGTTCTTTATAGTGCAATTAATGTTAGCTAAATATTGAAACAAAATTATTGAGCCCTCCAAATGTTAAAATCCTAAGTATTCATCAAAATTTTCATTTTTTTTTTTCCTCCATGGCTTGATGAAATTTGGAGGAATATCAGCTACAATAATTGTGAGAATATACCAATGGTCACTAGAAAAATTACTTATAATTTGTAATTTAGAAAAAAAAAAAACAAGATTTAAAATTTAAATCCTTAATAAATTATTCAATCTTTACACATACCATTTTAAAAATGAAATAATAATACAATTTCCAGAAAAACAAAAACAAACATCATAAAAATAGAAGATAGCCGAAGAAAACAACACAAACACCCCACATCATGGTAGTAGGGGTAGTGAGACAACATCCAATCCCCCTGAAGACTACGCTATATTATTCTGTACTCTTTTTTTTTTTGTCGTTGGGATTTGAGAATAATTATCTCAACAACTAGCTTTGTGATTTTTTTCATGGATTCGACAAAAAAAAAAAACAATACATTTTTATAAAAATTGTTTAATAATGAAAAAAAATTTTTATAAAAAAATATATATCTTAATATATGGGTGCTTTAATGATGGTGATTTGTTGATTGTGAATTATATTCTCATGTCCCAAGTTTGTTTTCGATTAATGTATTGGATAATTGTATCGTTACTTATAACGACATTAATTCTACAGCTGAATCGAAACTTTCCTCTTAAAATGTGATTGTGGAACCCTTCTGACTTAATTGAATTAATAACTGTTTCAGAATATTTTAATATGGAATTTTCATTCATTTATTTTTAACAGTTATATTACAGTTTAGGATTTAACCATACCAATATTTATAAACCATTTAATTATCGAATTTGAGAGTTAATTTAATAATAATGCTTAGTGCATATTGGGCTATAGTTAAAGAGATATTGGTTATATTTCCACTTGGATTTATATTTCCATCAGTTAATTTTTTTGTTTATTAATTTTAAAAGTTTAAGGTATTCATTAATGAACATGTTTAAGTTTTCTCTTTTTGAAGTGCAGCTGTTATATTCTAATTTATAATAGTGTTGGAAGATAAATAATTATGATTTCAATATTTTATTTTAGATGTTTTGTAGGATATATACTACATATTTATTTTTTTCTTTCAAGAGTGCCTAGAAGGGGGTTTCATGGTGATTCACATGTTGCAAATTCAGAGGGGGTGGGATGGCTGAGCAGGCCAACGCTTTGCCCGTAAATCTGATAACCGAACTTATAGATGTTAAAATAATTACGAGTTCACGTGCCGGTGGGTCTTTTAACTCTGGTATTAATTCCCTGCCCTCGTTATCTTGCCCAGAAAAAAAAACCATTTAGCCTAAACGGCAAGGAAGGAAGAACAAAAAAAAAAAGTTGTAAATTCATTCACAAGTTGTACCATCAAAATTTTTGAGGGACTATGAATTTTCGGAGGGAACCATATCCTGTGGGGTTTTATTTAGGAGGAACTTTCCAACCAGAATAAAAAAGATGGAAAACAAGTGCATTTATATATGAACTACAATTTGTCTAATTATATTTTTGCTTGCACTGCTTCTTAAGATCAAGAGAGCAATAAAATTTCTTGGTACTGGGAACAGGCGCCTTCGTCTTAAGAGGAGAGGACGGGTTCCTCTGTTAACCCTGTTACATTATTTGATTATATTATATTATATTGGTATATATGTAAATAAATAAATAATAATACATAATGATTTTGAATATTTTTAGGTAAATTAGTTTTCATTGGACAGTTGGTACTTATTTCGGCTAGATATATACTATAATTGACGGGTTCATTTATCTTATATGCTAACGTTTAAATTTTCCAAGCTATGATGCTTTACTTTTGAGTACAATTATGTTTTTAGTCTTATAGTTTTTGTTCAATTATACAAATTTTTAATATTTTTAAAAAATGGTTGATATTATTAAATTTTTATGAGATGTATTGTTATTTAATTGAAGTAAAAACTCGTTCGTTTTGTTAATGGATTTTTTTTTTTATAATTGTAATTTAAGAAAGAATAACTTTTTTTTAAATATATTGAGAATATTTGTTAGAGTTGTAGGAATAGTAAATTTTATTTTGCATATTTATACATATGCTTAAAACTTTTTCAGTTAAATTTTCTGGGTTAAAGAAATTTTTGACTTGGCTCTGCCAAAGTTACTTCAATCTGCTCAATACAGTTTAGATCTCTTCCTGTATTTGTATTTCATTTTATATGTGTTTCATTCATTCATTCTACATTTTTGTTTACTTCGTATTTCTTTTGAAATACTCCTGAAGGAAACAGGAGAGGAAGGATAGATGAAACAGCTTATCAGGTAAGATAAAGAAAACAAAAATATTTATACTTAAAATACAATAATACAAAAATGTGATAATAAAATTAAATTAAAAAACAAAATCAAATTCATTTATTTATCTATTTATTAATTTTTACTTCTTTTTTTTTTATTTAATTTGATTAACGCATTTTTTTATTATTGTATTTTAAGTATGAATATATATTTTTTCTTTTATCTTTGCTAATCAGCTGATTTACCTAACCTTTCTCTCCTGTTTTCTTCAGTATGTATTTGGATGCTCTAGTGAGCGTCAATATAGTGAGGCCTGCTGATGCCTGAATTAGTGAAACATTAGCGAGTTAACTATTTACCTGTATGTTTAAGAATCATGGCTTTATAGTTAGGATTGTTCCATTTATAATATCTCTTATTGGGCTTTTTGCTTATGTTAGTTTTTATTGAAAGTTGAAGTTTATTATTTTTCATTTTAAAATATCGAATTCTAAGTTTATACTTCCTATAATAGTTCCTTAAAATATGAAATAGTTATTCTGTATTTATTTTGCTACGGTCACTACCTGACAAATGGTCATTGTTTAAAATCTGGTACAGTTATTGAGACATAATGCTCAGAAGGTATCATGAAGGGTTCCACTGCGTGTTATTTTATTTGTTATAATTTTAAATTCCTATTTTAAAAAAATAAAAAAAGAAGCTAAATATTTTTGTTAATTTAATTAAAAGAGAAATATGTATTTGTAATACATATATTTTAATATTTTGTTGTGTTTTTTAATTGCATTTATGTTCAGAATTTAGATTTAAAGATAATGTATAAACATTGTATTATCTTTGTTTATTTATATATTTCTTTTTCTCAGACATCCTTTATATAATAATTCATGTGCTTTAAAAAACATTTTCAAGAGATACTTGTAACATTAGATATATTTAAGTCAATTTTTTAAATCTATAGTAATAGGATTTTATCTAAGCTATAAAGTTTTAGTATCAATATATATATTTATATTTTTGTACATTTTGTACAAATAGTCACCCGTCAAATAAAGTGAATTTA